ATCACGTCAGAGATTTTACTAGCGCATTTTCGATAAAATTAGAAGCATTATACGAAACATTCTCGTAGCTGGTTTTGGCATACATCGGTTTTCAATTTTCCATCATTAGCAACTAACAGCATCTATATATAATCGCGAATTATTTATATAATAAAGGTAAGAATATCAAAAATTTTTAATCGAATATATATCGTGCAAAAAAAAAAAATATATCTTAATACGCGAATAAAAAAATAATTCGCGAAATCTGCGAAACTGAATCGCTCGAAATTGCATAAATTTAATTACAAACGGCGCGTAAACTACCGACACATTTTTGATTGGCTGTGACGTTATCCGCGAGATCGACAAGCGATGGAATTATAAACTGACGCTGCATATCATCGACAGGCGAAATATATGATTTCGGGAACGCTTTCATGCGCATTCAAAGCCGAGTTGACGCGGACGTATGCATTATGTAAAATTCAGATAAATAGCCCGAGGGAGAGAAAAAGAGGTATATTTCAAATTGGCGCGTTATAAATCGATTATTTGATGTGGATCCCGATAAATAAGTCGCGCGCTAAATCGAAAATTCTTGAACATCGCGAGAGCTCGATGGATTACCGAAGGCCCATGGCCATATTTACCAATTAAGGGTGCTCCGTATAAATTAATGAAGTTATAGCGGCATGCGATGCCTCAACATTACGGTAAATAATGTATCAGAATAATCATTAACGTCAAATCATTTTGATTAAATGGATACTCCGATTACAGCTCGCGCTGTAATACAACGGAACAGTAATTGCTGTAAGCAGTCCCGAGAGATATGTTGTATATGTGTGCATATGTATCTCGCAGAATTGGATCACATTAAACAAGCGCATATATAATTGCGTATGCAGCATATGATTGCGCATCGATTATTATATACAAATTAATAATATACAATCGAAACAATTATTTATCTGACATTTTTGATACTATTTTATTTCTGAAATAAATTTGCGGCATTCTCCGTATAATTTTTGCCAAGAAAAAATGTTTTTTTCTTAGCGATTAATTAATTTCAAAAGTACTCGATAAGGCTATAGAATTTTCAATCTGTTTCTATAGAATTATTATAGGGTTTATGAAATTCAAGTTTATTTTAGATCTCTGTCTAGCAACACATTAGATGGCAAACTAACTTGATTATAGAAACCACATATCGTGTTTCCGGGAATGCGCTGATAAACGGATCTCTCACCTGTATCTCGAATCTACTACACAAGCTTATACCACAATCGATATTTCAATTAATCCGTGTCTCGCTCTTCCCGCGAGCTATAATAATATTGTCAGCAGGTTCTCAAAATAATGTATTTTTCTCACTTAATCGTATATTAATTATAATATAATATATTAATCATCGCGTGAAACAAAAATAATGGTGAATCAGACATCGAATATTTCTTCATAAATTTAATTTAAATTATTAAAAAATGGGAATGTCAGAAACAGGCTCAAATTCTTTCCAAGTCGCAATTTTTTTAATGAAAAAATAATTTATCTTCTCTCTTTTGAATCTTAATATTATAAATTCGAATTTCTAACTTACAAAAAAATTATTGAGATTTTAAGATTTTGAGTTTTGACAGAAGCTAAAACTTGTCTCATGTTTAATCGATTTTTTTCATTTCACGCAATTTTTTAATAAAAACAATGTATATCTTTCTTTGAATCTTTATATTATATTATATAAATTCGCAATTACGACTCACAAAAAATTACTGAAATTCAAAGATTTCGAATTTTTACGGAAGACAAAACCTGTCGTATAGACTTGAATGCTTCTTCTCAATAGCTCGTATGCAAGTATCGTTTTCTCTCTCGCGTGCTTAGGTAGGTTACGATCGGTCAGTAAAGCCGTCGACGGATGAATGGTGACAGCCACGAGTGATCGCGAGAGTGAGAAATGCGATGGCCTTCGGAACGTAAAAGAGGCCTTCTCGCTCGTTACGCAAATACATAGAGAACCGCGGAGGCGATCAGAGGGAGTAAAGAGAAAGAAGAGGAGGATGTCGGCCTTGGCGAAAAGAGACCTTGCCGACTGTTCGATGACTTAGAGGCGAGGATGGGCGGGAACAGAATGCGGACAGGTAATCTGATAATATCGTTCATTACACACCTAAATTAGTGAAGAAAGCTTCGTGAGAGTGAGAGAGAGAGATTCGTTTATCGAAGCGATATCTCCGAAAGAGTATGCATTACATCGGAAGTTCTGCTTCATTATACACGTATAAAAAAAAATTACTTAACACTTTCCTGCTATTAACATCCAATTTCGTTATTTTACTGTAGATAAAAAATTGTTCGTGATATACTGCAGATTAATAAAATGATGTAGAGTAATAATTTTTTTACACAGAATTTTTTTTCTTAGAATTTATCCTGAAATTTTTTTTTTATAATTGTAAGATAACGTGAAGAATTTCATGGAGTTTCTCTCTCTGATTAATATTTACCACCATAAAATATAAAATCGTAATTTTCGGCTTACCAAACATGATAAAATTTATAGTGAACTTTGCAGTAAAATGTACGAAAAATTCTCTCTATGTAGTATGTATAAAAAATGGATTTCAGTAGAAAAAATTTCATCATAAAAGTGTGTAAATAAAAAATGGAAATATAATTATCCAATATAGCAATGTTTTTTTTTCAGGCTAAAAATTAATTTAGGTGCGCAAATATATGAGACATGTGAATAAAAAATAGAAATATAATTATCCAATAACAATATTTTTTTCACATTAATTGCAAGAAAATCGGTTTTATGCAAAAGAGAAATTTTGACATTTGTATTTAAAAATTAATTCAGCTAATGCGCGATATATACGTGACGTGTAAATAAAAAAGGAAATATAATTATCCGACAACGATATTTTTTTGAAGCTAAGAAAAATTCACTGTAAGAAAATCAGTTTTATGCAAGGGAAAAATTTTGACATTTGTAATTAATTGCAAGAAAATCGGTCTTCTGCAAAGGAGAAAATTTGACATTTGCATTTTAAAAATTAATGTAGGTTAATACGCGATATATATTAGCGTCAGTCGCGGACTTTAGCGATAAGAACACATATAAGTAGGCACATAAAGATGTATTCGCGACATATGTAGATCACCTGTCTCGTAGATTACGGCTTTGTACATTTGTCTGTTGACACATACACAAGATGTGTAGATAAAAACAAAGGTGGGCAACCTTTCAAACGGCAAAGTTGCCGCAAAAAAAGTGGAAGATATCGCTTATTCGCGATTCCACAAATATGATCGGCCAAGAATGCTCATAACTTGAAACATCCTCGTTTCGCGTATCGATTTCGCGGTGCACATGTCATTAATAAAAGTCACCCACCTACTCTCTTTCTCGCGCTAGAAACACGCAGTTTCTACAGTATATCGGTTAACTAAATATCGAAAAACACCGCCAAGATTCTTTCAAACAGCGAATCAGAGAGAAATTACGCGATTACGGCATCGCAGATAATAATTTTTTACGTAGCGCTCTGTAAATAAGTCCAAAAAAAAATCACGGGAGAGAAAGAGAGGGATAGATAGGGATGGAAAAAAGCGATCGATGCGAATGGTCAGGCGAGCGTAGTCGAGCTAGCCTCCTTTCTCTCTCTCTCTCCCTCGTTCCCGTAAAATCGTCACCTTCTACAACTCCCGGTTATCGTCCGATTGATAACCACCGGAGCACGCAGATATCTTTCCCTCGAGATAGCCCGGCAACGTGCGAGGAATTTCGTCGCCGGTCGCAACATGGCGGCGCCGAGACGATGGGCGCTCCTTGTCTCTCTCTCTTTCTCTCTCTCTCTCTCGCGTCTCGTGCGTCATCGTTGCGGCAAGCGGCCGCCTTCGGATCGCGAAACAATCTTTCCTGTGGCTCATTGTCAGGCCGAATGGCGATTAAATTCGATTCCGCGAAATCGAGGAGACAGAGAGGGAAAGAAGAGAGAGAGAGAGAGAGAAACGATACGGCCGGCGAGAGACTCTCGCGACGTCGTCTCGGGCTGCTGCATGGCAGCTACGGGGTTCACACGGGCCGCCTTACGGCGCACATCGCGTTAATTCGCGGACGTCCGCGACGCGCGAGATCGCGAATGTCAACGAGACACGAGGCCGCCCGGACGGGCGAAGCACTCGTGGGTGACGTGGGGGGACTCACCTTTCGGAGTGCTGTAAGCGACCTGGGAAATCGAGCTTTCGACGTGTTCAACGGCTACCGTTCACTACGCTCTCGCTGAATGCACTGGCGCGACCAGCGGAAGCCACCATCTTGCCGGCCGCGAGCGCGCCGACTTCCGGCGCGGCGCCCGCGCGAATTTGAATCGCGAGCTCTCGAGCGATTTTCGAAATTTCGTATCTAAGAAGGACAGAAGAAATAATTAGAACGAGCTAATTATTGTGAATGTTAATCAAATTATTATTTCGATGAAAAGGAATATTTTGTTTAGTGAAAATTGTAGGTTGGTTTCAAAACTCAAATTTAAAGATTATTTATATAAATTTCAAAAACTTTCGACAATTTTTTTTCATCGTAAAGGAAATTGATTTTTTAGAGAGATTACTAATTAATCTAATTATCTTTATAAAAATATAGAATACAGACAATTTTCATTATATAAATTCAATATGTAAAATTTCAAAAAGTATCAATCGAAGTTTTATAAATAAAATAATCTGGCTAAATAAAATACTTTTTTGAACGATTGAGGGAAGAAATCTATTCAATTTCCTACACGTCTTCTTCATATATCTTAAAAAGCTTAATGTTCACAAAAATGCTATATAATTATATCAAAATTGAATATATTACATTGTTTACAATTTAATAACATATTTGTAAAAATTGTACACAATTTTTCTACACGGTTTGTGAGAAATCTAATTGTAAGGTTAAAAGTAATATTCTCGGTTGCATACATGTTTTTTACGATGAAACATAGTAACGATTATTACATTGTAAATAACGTTGTCATCCGAATGAAAAAACTTTCCATCGTAAATATCGACATCGACAAAACAAATAGAAGTTTCGTAGCAAAATTTATTACTTACGCAGAAGGTGCACGCGCCTAATTTTCTTCACCATATATCTATTCCTTGTCACGTGACTCAATTTTAGTTCGCTGACAGTCCGAGCGAATGGCGCTGAAACCTGAAAAAGAGTGTGTTTGTACAATCACGTGTATATTTGGATATTTGTTAATTCTATTTCTTTCTGCAAAAGAATTTAATCTCGAAGATGCCAATTTCAAAGAGGGACAAAAAAGGTACTTTTATAGAATTATTAATTTTATAATTTCATAGATGAAATATTTTAAAAATAGCTATCTGGATTCTATTAACCTCTATAACTAATATTCAATGATTTAATTTTACAATTAAATATATAGATAATTTTGTTGCAACACAAATTATTTATAGCTTTTATATGCTTTTACGTTATATAAATACTTGTGTCATTTGTTGCATCTTTGTAATAATAATATTATACTGTGTAATATAATATTATGCAATATAAATGCACACCTCTAATTAAAATATTTTTGTTACAGTATCTCTTACTAAAACCAATAAGAAAGGCTTAGCTTTGAAACAGCGGATCGTAGAAGATGTTAAGAAATGTGTAGAAGAGTACAATCGCATATTCTTAATCTCTGTTCAAAATACACGCAATACTAAGCTTCTTGATTTGCGTACAGAATGGAAAGACAGTAGATTCTTTTTTGGAAAACTTAGAATAATTGCATTGGGACTGGGAAAATCACAAGAGACAGAGGTTGCAGATGGCATACATAAATTGGCTAATGCGATAAAAAATCATTCGATGAAAGGTCAATGTGGCCTATTATTTACTAACAGATCAAAGAAAGAGGTACATAAATATATAAATTGAAATTGTAATAAGCTGAAATTAAAGCTAAAATCAGATAAATTCTATCATCAATTTATACAGAAAAATAAGTGTTTAAACTTTGTGTCACAAAATTATATTATATTAAAAATTTAATAATGCATTTGTATATGTAGGTAATGGAATGGACAGAAGAGTATGAAGAAATGGAGTTTGCTCGTTCTGGATTTGTAACACCTCATACAATTGAATTACCAGAGGGACCTTTGTCACAATTTCAACACACTATGGAACCACAATTAAGAAAACTGGGTTTGCCTACCTCATTGCAAAAGGGAGTTATCACTTTAACTAAACCATTCAAAATTTGTCAGAAAAATGATGTACTGACACCGGAACAGGCACAAATTCTGGTATATATTTTGAATCTTTTATAATATCTAACCTAATAAAATTTCAAAAAGTTATTAATTCTTTGATATATTTTGCAGAAATTATTGGATAAACCATTAGCAGTTTTTAAGTTGTTACTTTTGGGAGTGTATACAAAGAAGCATGGTTTTAAAAAACTTAAAGCAGCAGATAATGCAGAAGTAAATGATGAGGAAGAAATGGATGTAGAAAACAATGAATAAAAACATTTGTTGATTATAAAAAGAAATATATGTACATTTAATTTTGTATGTAAATATATTTTATTATTTGTAGCTGCTTTATTTAAAGTTTCTAATAAAATGATTCATTCGTGTGTCATGAAATTATCATACTTAAAAATATCTAAGATATATAACAAATGAAAACTGTATAATTGATAATTTAAACATGTCAAACAAAATTTGTAGTATTTTAAATTAATTTCATCAAAAATTTATATATAAATTTAAAATCCATATTAAGTTATTATATTGAAAATATGCAAACACTAGTTTTAACTATACTTTGGATGATTGGTATATTGTGGGTGAGTAAAATTTGACATATTTCTTTCTCAACTTTTGTCAGAATGTTTCTATCATAATTACTGTCTTTTTTATATACATAATAATTCATTCATGTTTTAAATAAAACTTTTTAGGCTATGTATTATTGGTACTTGAGCCCATCCATGAATCACACACAAACATATAATAATGCACCCAAAGTAATTTTTGATTTTGATTCTGATAAGAGGTACAATACATCTTCTGTTGAGTCTTTAGAACATTCAGATAATGAAGATATTAGAAGAAAATATATACAAAAATTAAAACATGAGGTACACGATGAAATAAATGCTGAATAATTTAAATAATCATCGTGTCAATTTGTGAATCGTACTTTCCTGTGAAATATTGCTATGCATTTTGTAAATATGTTAAAGAATGTTAAACATTTCAGACTAAAACTCGTTGGCCGAGCAGAACGTCAATCAAACCAAGATTGTACAAATCATTCTAACATATATTGTACATTGTAGGTATAAAATATAGTAACAGCTTAAAAAATATAATTAATGTAGTGAATATAAGACGAAACATTTTTTAGAAAAAATATTTTGTTATAATTAATAAAGAATTTGAATTATAATAGTCATATTTTTATATTAATGATAAAAAAACAAAGATTGACGAAAATCAACAACTATTATTAATACAAAACGATCATATTTGAATTGTGCTAAAGTAGCCATTTTTATGATTTTTATTATTTATGATTCTTAAGGATACAGGGCATACATTTATTATGTAGAGGAACTTATGTAAAACGATGCATCAATACTCTACTAAGAGAAATCAAATAAATTGAATCCAATAAAATATATTGCATTATAACGAAGAAATAATCTTACAGGTAATGTGCTACTGTGATTATTGACATGAAAAATTTAATCGCCACAGAGATGTACTTATCATCTCTTATATAAAATTTTTTTTACATTATTTCATACATAATGAGATTTCTCCATTTCTGTAAAAATAATATTACTTAATAAAAATATTAAATCTGAAAAATTACACCATGTTCTTATCACTTTTCTATGATGTTTCTTATTTTGAATTTTTAAACCAATTTGTATATTAAAAAGAGAGGATTTTTTCTCTTTTCATTATTACAAAGAATGGCTGTGTCATTGTAATATATGTAAACAAATTATAAACAAAACAAAGGAAATTGTAAACAGACTGTCTAAATTTATTTGTACCAGAATAATGTAATTTTAACAAAAAATGAATATAAATACTACAAAAATTATAAATACTAAATAATTATAAATATAGTATATAACATTACGTTCCCTATTACATATACAATATACATTAAATTAATAGTTAAATTGTTCCAAATCAATCATCAAACAGTGTCTGTTCCAAGTAAATAATATAGAATCTGTACATTTCTTTTTGTCATAACTTTATCACACTCTGTGCTATTACATTTTTCTAAATAAAAACGCCATGAAAAATTATTTAATTTTGTTTTGTAATTTTACTTGTTTTGTTGTCCTATTTTAAATATTTCATTAATGAAACATAATCTATTGCGAATATGTAACGTCTATCCTCTTTGGCTGGATATAGTTGTACCTATATATTTGTGCTTCAATTACATGACTCGAGAAGCACGAAGTGTGAATTTGTCGATATTATTTTCACGTTATCAATCACTCAATCGAACTAAAACAATAACTTAATCTATACGTCACAAAGGTAACTTATGAAAGACTGAAAATTGATAGAATGTATTACAACAACCATGATTAGAGGGCTATTAAATAATAAATAAAAAATACGTCACATATGATCTATATGGAATACAGAGTAGATTCGTAAAGTACTAACAAAAATATTTTATAAGGCTACCTTAATGTTGGTGTTCAAAAGAAATCCATGTTTGTACACGTTATCTACTTCATAATCCTTAATTTGATCAAGAATATCACAATGTAAATGATAACTTAGTTTGAAGGATATGGCAATTTCACAGCACGCTAACTTAATCGAGATCTCATACAAAAATAAACTATAGTTCTCTGAAATTATATATATATAGCTATCTAAAAAAAATAGGGAACATAAACAACAAATACTTAACTATTTGTCTGTTAACATATTTTACATCCTAGAATCATGTCCTATTATCAATTAGTAAACAAAATTCCAATTCAGTTCAATATAGAAAATTGACAACACGTACATAGACAATTAGACGCTTGTATAAAACTTACATATGTGCAGTAACAAGCGAGGCTGTGTCCAAGATAAGTGTTGCGTCATGAATATAGATAATTCGCGCGATGCACAAAGAACTACGAAATTTTTTTTAGCTATCGATTTCCAAAATGTGTTCTACAATGATTCTGACAATGTCACTTGACACAGAGAGTTTGCATATCTTATCAAGCATAATGCGTAGTATAAGACTCGCTTTCATTATATTATAAAGCATGTATACCTGTATTATATCTAATTTCTAGTTGTGTACATTGACTGGTGTGATTAAACCCAACTAATATGTAAGAACATATTCGAATATCTCGTTTAACACAAAATATAACGAAACTATGGAATGTGTTATGTATAAATCAAATTTACTTTTCAGATCACTAATAAAAAAAAATTTTATATATAAACTTAAATATATATGTGTATAAAAGAGTTTATATATAACTTAGATATAATATAAATTAAGTTATAATTAACACGTTATATCTTTATATAAAGATGCCATATAAGTGATTTTTAATCTTATTACATATAACTGCTTAATATCTAAACAATAAGTGTAATATCTGTAGCTCCTATTTTCAAGACTTCTAGCATATTAACATGGGACAATCACACCTATCAAAGTCACTACAATCAACGCACAGGGTATAAAAGTTAGCTAAATATGATGATCATCTCGTTCGTAGTGCATACAAGCGAGTGATAGTTATAGAATAAAGTAAATTCTTTAGGTAGTTTGAGCCTGAGCGTAAAGTTCCTCGAGTTTCGGTACTTCGGCTATCGGATCCCGCCAATATGCAAAGTTACTAAACTCGTCGGTTGCATCCTCTCGCCATGCCGGAAATACGTGGTCGACGATGAAGCTCATATTAGAATATCTATAAAGAGAACAAATAAAAATTGCAGAACATGTGTCAAACACAGCTGTATCCTTGTACTGTCAGTATGGCTGAAAAATGAATGTTTAATTTACATTTATAGTTTAGGTAAAATGAATTAATATTATACATAAACTATTAAGAAAATATTTAACAGTTTTGTCAATATTGAAATATTTCTTAATGTATACTGTATTAAGTGTGAAGTGAATGTATTACATACAAACGTCAAATAAGAGTTAAATTAAAATATAAATTTATATATAATACAATACACCTAAGATCCAATTGATTAGATTGATATGAAATTTGTACAAAATAAATTAAAAAGATTAAAAAATATAAATCATAAATAAGTTATATGATCAAATCACAGATAAAATAAAAATAGATACAAAACACCTTAGCATTTACAGCTGAGCTATGATTATTTATGATATTTTATAAGTAACATTAATATTCATTAATGATTGAGTGATTGAGGAACCAGTTTAGTAAGAGCAATCATGAAGTGGCTGGTTGAAAAATTATGGACGATAAGCAAATAAAAAATAAGATGAGTTTGAGCGACGACAAGCATGATTTTATCTGTAAATTTAGAAATCAAAATTTCAAAACATTCTTATGAATTTAATACCAGTTTTTCCCATTACTGCCTGAAACAAATGGAAAATGTATGTTGTTCCCAATGACGAGATGTTAGAATGGCTAAAAATCAAAGCGTATTCAAGCGATAATAAGAAGCTTGTACAAAACAATTGCTTACCCTATAAATCATAAGAAGATAGATGGGAGTTGTTGCGCGACCAAATATACATCCCAAAACATAGTATACTAAGGTATCTAATTTACATTTTTACTTGATGTATAATTTACATTTGATGTATCCGGTTTAATATTTATAATTGCAATTTTCTTTATCTCATCATATCTGTCATATTGCTCATGTATATAAAAATATTTTAACTTTGTACTAAGTCAATTATCGAAAAATGAAGCATAGATTGTATTATGCAAGACAATGTGTTTTAAGCATACAATACAAGAATGCATTAAATATAACCGGATATCATTGGTATTTTACTGTACATAATACTTGAATTAATTTAATTAATTCATCTGATAAAATTTATGATTGTGTCGCTATCAGTAGACGTTTGGCATTGGTGGCGGGAACAACTCATTGATGATATTGCATTGACGCGCATAACTGTAATCACAGAAATATCCGACCTATCAATACCCACTGAAAAAAGTGCGTTTTTTTCAACCAATAACTTCATTCTCCAATGCTCAAGCCCTTATCATAATTGATCTTTAGTACGAAAAGGGCGTGATCCAGTTTGTTAATTAATTTAAACTCTTCTAACATTTTTAATAAAAATAATCAGATAATAAAAAATTGTTAGTAAGCTCTAGAAGGCCAACGTCAGCTAAGGAAAAAGGCAATAGGATTAAATGTTATGTTATAAGCTATACAATTTGTAATTGTAAAATTATTGTCACGTATCCCATCTGTAAATAAAACGATTGTCTGACACACATTGTTATGAGACTAATATGTATAAGAAAATATGTGTATTCAACAGCACAGTGTTATTAGATTTAAGAGATCAAAATCAAATTGATAAAAAGGAAAAATATGCTATAAAGCATAAAAAAGAATTATGTTAGGAGAAAAGAAAAATATAAAATAGCCTAAGTATATAATTATTATATACATAGCTATTGCGACAAATCAAATATACATGTTTTCAATATCCAGTTTTGTTCTGTTAATGTGTTCTCGACACACAGAAAAATAAGATTTATTATCAATAAACGACAATAATGCAATACTTACGAAGATTGGAATGTTTGCGTCAATTCATGTTTTAATTCCCCTCGGTGGTTGATGGTAAAGATCCGCATTATAGGAATGCCTACTGCTCGATATGCCCATACATCCTATTTATAAAAATTTTTACATATAATTATATATAATTTTATATTAATTCAAGTTATAAATAATCGACAAGATATATATAATTTATTAATCATACATTTATGCGATTTCCATATCCAGCATAAAATGGTTCGGTTCCGTCAGGGAATAACGCTTGAATATCTTTTAGACAAGAAATCTTGAATTCTTCCGGCTTCTTCTCTATTACTTCACGATGGAATGCCAAGATCAAGCTAGTAGGATTCAAGAGTAACGGACCCTCCGGCAACGTCAGATCTCCTTGTCTCAAATTTCTCAGATATTCCCGAGTGCCTCCAGCCTGCCCGATCGCCCTCGCCGAAAGGTATAATAATTTATAACCGTTATTCTTGATTTTAGTGAACAGTTGAGCGACTCCTGATTGAGCCCAATCCTTGCCTACTATCGGTAGAATATGACCCAAGACATCGGATTTCGTGATAGTGCCATCGATATCAGAAATGACGATCTTATCATCCCATTTCCATTTGTAAATGTGACATTTGCAGCGTTTCGTACCCTGATAAGCGGTGGTTACGCTGAAAACCACTTCGTTAGCGCCGTCCTTCAGATCAAGACTTGCCTTTAAAGAAATCACACAAAAATTCATTAAATTTTTATTTATATTTTATACGATTGCGTGAAACATATGTATGTGAATTTACTTACAATCTGTTCAGATGACAATCGTAAAGTTTTACGGTATTTCTCCGTGGATTCGTAATATGGTCTTCTCTCAATAGGTATCTTAATACCTGGTGATTCATTATGATTACTGTCGGAATCCTCACCGCCGCTGTACCCTTCGCCCTCTCCCTCACGCGTTTTTTCAGTCTTTGCAAGCGTAGTTTCGCTTGACGCGGGTGTTAATCTTGTACAAGTTTCCACCACCTCTGTCGAGTTTGGCAAGTCTGTGTCTTGCTCAGTCTTTTCCTCTCTGTAAACAGATATAATTAGTAGAATTATTGTTAATAGAAATATAAAGAGTTGAATATTTAAAAAAAGCAAAACCCTCAAGATTTACCCATTATTAGCAGAGGGTGTTTCTTCATTCGTTGCAACTTTAGTTTCCAGAATCTGTTCAGATAGCTGCACGGCACTTTCCTCAGCTGTGACAAAATCAATAGAAGCCATATGTTAACAAAACGTGAAACAAATATAATTATTTATGTAAACTATAGGATATGTGTGTAAAATATAGAACATTTATTAAATAGAATAAAAAATTTAAATATCTTACTTGGATTAATGTCCTGTGGTTTCTTGGGAGGTTGCGTGGAACGTCTCCAAGAAAACCAAGAACTGTATCCACTACGACTCTCGGGCTTCCCATTGTTTTCTGTCTTCTTATCCTCGTGCACCGGCAACGACATGTACAGACTTTCGATCGCACGTTGCGGTAAGTGTCTTTGAAAAACGACGTAGGTCAATACTATTGGACAAGCTGTAGTCCAATTGTAAAATTTTCCGTTGATTCTCACAACCAAGTTTGGATTTTCGTATAGTTTCGGATCAGTGCAAATGTCCTCAAAATGCAATAAATTTTCGTGGAAAGCCTCCTTGGCTGGACCGTTTTCGTTGTCTAGTCCACCGCACAGGGACATACTTATTTCTATATTATTATCGAATATAGAGTGCTTTGGTTCCTCGAAGTCGCTGTCCAGCGACTTTGGTCCACCGATGGCTCCCTCAACACTATTGGGGCTTTGAGGTAAGCTAGGCCCATTACCAGATTCTGTATCCTCTTCATCCATTACTTTTCCATCTAAAAAGAATAATATACACGTTTTAATAAATACATAAAATATAAAAAGCAATATTGAAGCAATTCTGCAACCAAATAGTTTGCATTAATTAAAACAACAGAAATCATAAATTTTATGTACAAAAACATAACTTTGTTAGTCATTTAATTCTACTTATTACTAATAGAAAGCTGTAAATTCTTCCAGTTTAGAAAAAAATTACAAATTATATGAAATATTTGCATTAAATATTTCAAAAATATTTTATTATTAAAAATATTAAAAATGTAATTCAATGAATATGATATGAAAGTTAAAAAAGCATAGTTATTAACGCGTTAGTTTTGATTCCATGCCAAAGCAAAAAGCGAATTTACCAATATACCTTTAACCACCGTCGAATTTCGATGTGAGGAAGGAAAGTATAGAGCCGCAACTTCGGGATCCAATTCGTCGGCATTAAGATCGCTAAGGTAAATTCCCTCTGATTCCGGATTGTGTCTTACGCGAGAAGTCTTCTTCATAAAGGAGAACATGCCACTGAGCATAGATCGTTGTGCATCTTCTGCCATTAAAAAAGCAGTTAGCAAAGAGTTAGCAGATCAAGCATTCGAGTTAGCTTCTTCTTGTGAAAATAAAAAAATTAATCTTACAAATATCTTAGATCCTCAAAATAAATGATTATAATATATTTTCCATTACGAAAGATCATTCAATGTAATGTTAATTGCAATGTATTGTTTGAAATGATAAAACTGAAATAAAATTGTATACTAACTATTCGGCTGATTAGCTGCTGTTAAAGAACTCAATGAATTTCTATGTGACATATGCGCTGATTCAGGAGGTGGACTAGGCAATTCACCCCATCTCCAACTCTGCTGATGACCCTTGTCGTTCTCTCTTTCACTACCTTCTTGTGTAATTTTACGTACTTCGAATTCCGTGTCAGATTGAACAGGTGAACATGATCTGGAGTCTTTGTTCCTTTTAAACATATCATCATAATATGTAGATAAATATATTCGCATATATTATTTATGAATAAGAATTGAACACAACATTCAAGATTACATACTTGGTAACTTCTGAGTCGCTGAAGAAATGGAAATCAGTTTCAGGACGTTTCTCAATTGCATCTTGAGAGCATGTTATTGATTCCGCAACAATATTTTTCTTTTCAATCTCTGTGACTGGTGTGGGTCCCTTAAAAATATTCAATAAATAAGTGCATCTATATATATATGTGCTAATATAGAATTGAAAATATAATAAAGTAATATTTACAGTTTCACTAATTGATTCCTCAGGAACTATCGCATCTGTCTCGCTCATTTCCGTTTGGCTGCTACTGCCATTGCTGGTTTTTCTCTGCGAGCCTTTTTTCTTCATAATACTCTTCCTCTTGCGTTTCCTCTTAGTCGAATTACTCTTTGTTTCTTCAACGATTTCTTCCTTCAAAATCTTATTCAAGGATGAGTTTGATTCGTCACTTGATTTTTCCTTACTACTACTTTGGGGATCATCCATAATTGGTCTAAAGTCATTATTTACCACGCTGATTTTGCGAATTCTTTCAGATGAAGTAACAGCTACGAAAGATTTTGGACAAGAAACAGGCAATTTTGGCTGTTCATCATTGATAGAATCCATATCAAATATTTCCTCGTCTTCATTCTTATCATGCTTTTCTTCCAAGTTTTCCTCCTTCTCTTTCCAATCGCTCAACAAAGCTTTTTCAAAGTTTTGTCTCTGCTCAATTGAAAGCTCTGGGAAATTTTCCTTGAACAATTTCTCTTTGTCCTCCGTCTTCAAGGCAGAATATTGTTCCCTGATCATCTGCTGCTTCTGCTCTGGAGATATCGTACCAAAACTTTCCTTAAACATCTCATCCCGTTCTTCCACAGTCAACGAAGCAATCTGAAGCCATTTCTCACGATGTTCTGCAGGAAGATCTGAAAATTGTTCTATCAGAAAGTTCTCTCGTTGATCAGGTGGTAAGGCGGACATCTGCTCCCATTTTTCGCGTTCTATAGAAAGAACCGAATCTATAAGGATCTTCTCTCTGTGCTCCTGAGGCAGTTCCGATAAGAGATTGAATTTTGCTGGTGGAAAGCAATTGTCATCGGGTATAGGTGAACAAGCTAAGTGCGGTGGAATTTCAGCATCCGTTGGGGATCCATTTAAGCTAACTTCCTCTACAAAGAAGGCTTCGCCAGAATCTCCAAGTTTCATATGAATCTCCCTAGGTTCTCCATTTATCTCAATATCCACCTGTATGAAAATATCCCTTATATAGCAATCTATCTATATATTTATATATATAATTATATATATAATTTTCTCATATTGATTTTAATAATTTAATGTAATTATGCGGCAACAAATTATCAACAATTGCAAATGTTTAAACACTCACCACTTTCGCTCTGGAGCGAAGTACGCCGAGTTTACCGAAACGGACATGAAAGGGCGAGCACGTGAAGGTGCCGTCCGGCTGTTCGATAACGATGACGTCGATCGCACCGGTGAGGGTCGCGGCGTTTATCTCGTTGTAGAAGAGACGGAAATTGCTGATGATCTTGGCGATATAGTTCATACTGTACATGCCTAAGCTCGCGCACTGCAGGTCGCGGGAGACGACCTGACGACCAGCGGAGAGTACCTATTCAAAATTCGCGGCGTACCAACGTACTCGCGAATGTGTATTCGGTTCCAAAGGTTTCTCTCCCTCTCTCAGACGAGAGAAAAAAAGGCAGTAAGAACTAACAGTCACCGAGGATCGAGATTATTCCACGTTCCGCGAATTTACCTAATCGAGGAGTCACGACGTCTTGTCGATGACGACCCTCCTGTCCCTCTCGTACCCTACGTCCCCGATGACACCGACGAGGATCCACCGACGACGCCGTCACTCCGTAACGTCGAGCTGTCAAAAGCGATACGGCTGACACTTGACACACAGAGTCGTTCGCGCGAATTTCGAGTGATGCGAGATGATTCCCTGAGGTGACCTCGAAACGACGAAGACCTGGTGATGAGGATCCAGGTGCCGGAATAAAGAGACTCGAACGAGAACAGCGGAGAGACCGTCTCCGCGGAACTCTTTGTTCTTCTCTCCTCGATCGTACGTTGATCAGTGCGCCTGGCAGCCTGGCACCGCCAGCAGACAGTAGTCCGAACTGACGTTTAGCGAAGACCACGTGACCCAGGCCGAGCCAATCGCCGCGGCGGCCGTCCGGCGGTCGATACGGCGGCTTTAGCGCGTGTTTCGAACCGGCACGGACTTCCTGGAACAAAGAAACGAAACGTCATGCTCGATTCACCTGTTCACCCGTCTGAATTCGCGCGCGACAATCGATCAAGTTCGAGGGTTCGAGTCCTTCGTCGGTCAGATAATTTCAAGTAATTCGAGGAGCGACAGGTGATAGAGGTTGCTTCATGGATCGAGTTGGCAAAAAATAGTCAGCTGTGCCTTTCAACGAGAAAAATGCGGCCACCTCGCTTTCGAACATCAAGGACATCATATCTCGAGTCGAGGTAATAATATATCTTAGGAATTCGAGTTTTAATTTCAGCAGAAATTATAGTCGCAGTTGAGTAATCTCATCTAACCTCATAATTTTTATTATTTTTATTTCATTCAAATATTTTCTAAATTATTATTATATTTATATAAATAAAAATAATTACTAAAATAAATATAAATATTTTAAATGCTTTTACATTTAGTTCGGGAGACCGAAACGAGAACGCACCCACGAAACATGCTGAAGTTGTCGCGCGTCGATTGATAGATGTTAGACGAGTCGAAAAAATCGATGCGGTTCGCGTACTTGTTGATTTTTCGTCATCGGCGGCTTTCGCGCCACTTCATTTCGGTCGGATCGGAGAAACGAAACGACGTTCGCGTCCGCATTCGCGTGAAAATCTTGTTAACATTTACGTAAGACGTAAGCTATCCGACGAAATAACGAAGGTCGAAGTCGGCAACGTGATACATCATCCTTCGACATGGCTCGATCGAAGTCCTGCCTCGCGGAAATCCGATACATACGTGTGAGCTTGAATCGATCAAGAAACCCGAGTTTGCGCCATTAGCAGCCATTATAGGTAAGGTCACAAAAGTTATTTCAGTCGTTGCAAATGAGATAATCTCGTTTAGCAGAAGCCGAGAAATAATCAGACAATGCGCTTCAACTGTTAGATTTCGTAAAATCGATATGATCGCACGATATTGTAATATCTGCGACAAATGAGTCGCTTTTATTGTTCGATTAAAATTGAAGGCGTTTGCGGAGGGGAAAGGCAAGAGGGGGTATTGCTCCTTGGAATCAGAATAAAAATTAAACTTTGTTCTGCTTTTGAATAAACACTAGAATTTATTTGCATATTTATAATGAAAAATGAAAATAATAAAATAACGAAAAAATAAAGTTTTAAAAATTAAAAAAGAAAAAATAAAAAACAAAAAAATTAATTATGCCCCTCCTCTAAAAATGTTAATTTTGGTAATTATTTTTCGATCGACATAAAGTCTTTGAAAACTATTAATTAATTTAAAAGAGAGAATCGGCAGAAAGAAAGATATTTTTCTAGAAAAGAAATCGTACATCGATAATTATATATCTGTATATACTTGATTGTTTCTTGCTCCGGTAAATCGAAACAAATGTAAGAGCGTCATAATGTTATGTGTCATTATAACGAGTTATTAATTGAATAAATAAGATTTTTTTCAATGTATTATTTTTATTATTTATTACATGAATATTGTTTAACACATTATTTATTATTGAATATTATTTTATTAAAGATGAAATAATATATAATTTTTACAATTTAATAACAAGTAATTGAAAAGTATAAATAATTTTTTATCGATTGTATAAGTCGTTATTTAAAATTCCGACTATTAAATATTAATTTCAAATACAATTTTATCAAGCAAAATTTATGCTACATGCATTGTATCAATATATACATGCATATGTATCGAGATATTGTGACTTTTCTTTTCACGACAGCTTATTCTCTCTTTTATAGTCGCTAGGCAAAAAATAAAACTGTTCATGCCTTTCTTCTTTTCTGTAGACTTGAATAACACAGTAGACTACATAGCGACCTACTTAAAGGAAATCAAAACAAACGTGTCGCGATAGTTAAGAATTTCCGTTCTCATCTCCATCTCAACATAATTCAGTCATTAAAAATAGCACGAAAAAATCTTCATTCTAGAACGTAATATAAGAGAAAAATAATGATGATATACTCACATTGATTTTAATCGAATGAAATAATTATTTATATTCTTTCTTATCTTGATTTATCTAAATATATTGTAATAATAAATATTATTTTATATCTGTTATATAAAATATTATAATATAAATAAAATGAGAAAATTAATTATTAACATTTTAGAAAGATTATTATATTACCATTTAAAATTCAATTGCAATTTTGAAAATTATTATATGCTCAAACTTTTTAAAAAATAATATAAGAATTGTAATGTATAATGTATAATATACTTTTTTTCTTTATTTAATAATATGCATATTTCATAATATGCATATTTCATAATATGCATATTTCATAATATGCATATTTAATAATATGCATAACTTAAGTTTATTTTCTAATAAAAGAAATTTAAACTTAGCCGGTGTTGGTCAATAGATTCCTGCCTAATTTGGTTTTTTAAAAATTTAACTGGCAATCATATCACGTTATTCTTGTTAAAATAATTATATGCTACAAGAAGCATGAATAAAAAAGAGAATTCAAACATTTGATATTTACTTGGATCTGATTGTCAAGTTGTTCGTAGGCGGCAATATAAAACTCTTGAACGTTGTACTTTGTTCGCTAACACAACTTGCGTGTATTTATGTATATAGTTACACGTAATTGGCATTGCCAAGGTTTAATGACGGTATTGTTTGTCCTTTTTTGTGCAGTGGAGCTGCTCTTTCGTCATCGGACGATCGCTCGTACGAGAACTCAAAGGTCTATCTCGATACAAAAGCAGTCTAGATGTTTACAGACGTCTCATCGCACAGTGAGTCATACATTAAAAAAAGTTTTTATTGGTCTCACTGATCAGACATTTTAATAAAAAAATAGATGTGCTTACGCGGTTTTTATCGCGTAATGATTATCTAGCGATTTGTCAGATGACCTTTTCACCATGCATACGCTGACTTAGCACATTATATTTTCCAATACGGAAATAAAACAGTAGGTACATATTTTATTGTATATATATATATATATATATATATATATAACAGAGAAAATACAAATTTTCCTCATTGATATTATCTTTTTGTATAAAATAGTTTGCATTTGCATTTGCATTGCATTAAATCTATACTTTAAACAAAATTTTGTTAACTTTACTAAATCTTTCAACTAAATTACTTATATTTTATTAATTAAACATATATTAGTATTTAAGTCAAATATACGTTTTGTTAGATTTAATATGTTACATTTAATTTAAATATTTTTATATGTTCAATTAACAAAATAATATTTAGTTAAAAGATTTAGTCAAGTTATCAATTTTTTTAGTATCTGAAATATAAATCTGTATGAAATTTGTCATATTTATTTATAATTTTATTTCCACATTTGCGCGCGAATTTTCACGCTGCGATGTAAATTTCACATATCGTTGCTAATTTTATCGTGATTATAATTACACTTAGCGTTCATTATAGTTACGTCATTATCGTATACGTAAATAATGATTACAAAACGATTAAATTCCGATCGAGATTCGGACATTTCATCGTAGCAGATACACAAAGTGTAAAATTCGTACACTGAAAAAAAATTTATTGAATTTGAATAAATGTTGTTAATATTCAATGCTGCCTTATAAATCATTTATTCGAAACTATTAATATCAAATAAATAATTTATAAGGCAAGATTGATATAAATATTTATTAATTTAATAATTTTTTTTCAGTGTAAATAAAAAATTATCTTTTAACGAACAACGCGAGAAATAGAGCGCGAGAATTAATAATCTTGCTGCTGATCCTAATTCGGTTCTCACATATTAAAAAAAATGTGTTAACTTGAATAAATTTTTCAACTAAATTACTATTTTGTTAATTGAACATATATTAGTGTTTAAGTCAAATATATATGTACATACACGTTTTACTAGATTTAATATATTTAATTTAAATATTTTTATTCACAATGTTCAATTCACAAAATAAGATTTAGTTGAGAGGTTTAGTAAGTTAACAATTTTTTCAGTATAGGGTGTGCGAACAACAATTGTTATTACAAGAGCGCAAGAGCTCGGTTTATCTTTAGCTGGATAAAGCCACAAAAAGGTCGATCACTTTCCTGCGGCTTGCGTAAAAGAGAAGGTTGCACGAGTGAAACGTGCGCACGCGCGTGTAACAAGATTTGCTCTTAACGTAACAAATTATTTATCATCTCTGCATCGCCGCTTACGCAATTATGCATTTTTCCTGCGGACAGTCCTCGACTTGTTCCCCAGTTTCAATTAAAAAAAAAAAACAATTGCATCAGTCACATTCATTTAAAACTGTATCCTTGTATAACATTTGCATGCATAAACAAATGCTTCTTGTTCTCTTCGGTTGCATCTCAGAGATATGTGCGTGTGATCATTCCGTGTTAAGTTAATCTAATTAAAAACTTTTTTGAAATTGATTAAAATGATCTAAAATTATCTGGAGAGAAATAGAAAATGCCTAGAAAGTTAAATTATAATGCACTTATATTGAGACATATTTGTTTGTTTTAATCTTCATATGGATTATATAACAATCTCTCTTTTGCAAAGTTCAACTGTGAAATTTCAATTCAAGATACACCTCGTTTGAGAGCCATAAAAGTCAACTCGTGCGCTCTCCTAGAAAATATGTAACCTCTCGTACGAACTCTCATCTTATCGTCTTTGCAACGAGAGAGATCTCGTTGACTGATGAATAAGAAAGTTTGTTAGAGGTTCTCAATGTATCCCGATATTCTTTATAAAAAGTAATTTCATTATATTTATATGAAGCAATTATTTTATTACCTAATCTCTTTAGAAGAAATTCTAACGAGTATTCTCAAATTACTCCAAAAAACATATACCATATATTTATACTTTAACATATACTTATATTTTAATTTTACTTGTTAAAAATTAAAACGAGAACGAACGTTCTTGCGAACGTGCGTTTCTGACAAGATTATTCAATCTTACGCAAATGAGAGAGATGGGTGTAAGAGAAAGAGAAATAAAGACCGAGACTCGACAGAGCGCTGGACTGATTTCAAAAAGCTCAATTATTATTTTCGTAAAATTTTATGTATATGTATATATATTATTCGAAACTTTCTGACGAAACGTAACGTCTGTCTGTTATGACATTGACGTGACAAGTGCAAATATCGTTAACATTTACGTTCTATCACCGAAGAGAAGAAGGGGCTTAAGAGTCCTATTAATAGTCATGAATAACAAAATGTTTAACATCAATCGGTCCCCAAAAACCAGCCAAATCGATACTTCACGAATTGCTCGGGATATTTATAAACAGACGGAAATGATAGTCGTGAAATGTTTACCAAACTCGTAGACCGTAAAATTGAGCAGACATTAATAGCCTAACAAAATAATTTCTAATTTTTACGAGTACACTAAAAAAAATTTGTTAACTTAACTAAATGTTTCAACTAAATATTACTTTGTTAATTAAACATAGAAATATTTAAATTAAATGTATTAAATCTAACAAAACGTATATTTGACTTAAATACTATATTTTCAATTAACAAAATAATAATTTAGTTAAACTTTCAAATTTAATCAAGTTTTAAACAAATTTTTTTTCAGTGTACGTCCATATTTGAATATTCCTATTTTACATATGCGTTATCGCGTAGTTTATTTTATTGTGAAAGGTCTCGCGCGTATATATACATATATATATGTGCACATGTTTGTACCCGATATGTTTTGAATTCGCCATTGTTCGTAAGATAACGAAGCAGTTGTAATACATGAATTGTAGGTACCAGTTATTCCCACGTGAACAATCATCCATTTAAAGGCACATCGATCGATGAAATGACATTTTGCTCTCTTCTCGAAATGAAACGAAATGCAAATTTAAATACTTGGACAGTCGCCTGAACGAGAGAATACGGCTGTACCCGAACAAAACAAAGACAAACGATCGCTCTCGTTAAATCGATTGACAATTATCACGCGAGTTTTTAATTCGCCTCGATAACAGTAAATATCACAAATACTCTCTCGAGTGCTTTGCTTTACCTCGGTACATTGACCTGCATGTTTTTAACAATTTTATTATAATTAATCTTATCTGTCTGTTGTAATCGCAAATATATATCTATGTGAATATCTAATGTATATGAATACATCTACGACTTTGCGAAGCATTTAACCAAAAATCTCGTGAAAGATTTCGCCAAAATGAAAATCTTGAAATTTTATATATATGCACTGAAAAAAATTTATTGAATTCAAAAATAAATATTTATTTCAATATATTGCCTTATAAATAATTTATTTGAAACTAATACATTGATTTGATGTGAAAAATATTTATTTGATATAAGAAAATCCTTTTCAAAACAGATAAATATTTGTTTCAAATAAATGATTTACAAGGCAGTATTGAAATAAATATTTATTCGAATTCAATAATTTTTTGTGCAAAAAAGGCTTTTGTAAAAGAGATGATAACTCTTTTACAAATATAAGGAACATTAAAATAAATACGTTTTATCTTTGATACGCTATGAGTCATTGTCTGTTCGGAGCTGGTCAAAGTCACGCTTTTTACACAAAAAAAATACGCGGAAAAGATATCGCAAAAACTACGCGACATATATAGCAGAGACTAAAATTTTATTTTTCCGACCTGTTATAACAAAAAACTTGCAAAAAAAACCTTCCTTTATTTCACGAAATAAAATAATTATATAAAATTAGATATTTTTCACATATTTTGACATAGAAACTCTCTCTTTCTCAATTTCAAAAGAATAATAAGCCAGCATACTTCACTAATAATTATTGTTTATAAAATTTTCAACCGATCTACTATCTGCAAAACGTAGACCATGATTTCGCGATACGTTGCGAAATCATTTAATTAAGCTAAGCCTTTAATTAAGATTCCTTTATCAGGATCACGAAATTAATACTTTCGACCGTTACTTCACGCGATCATTCGGCAAACACGCACCGGTGATTAACTGTGTCGCCAGTATTTCTCGCGATTAATCATCCTCTCAATTCGTATTGCAATCGCACGCGCCGAACTTATCGGTCGTCAGACCAGTTTTTGATAAGCTAATAATTTTCCGAGCTGCGCGACGTTTGACAAACACGTGTAAGGTTTGTCAACAGTGCAACGACTTCTCTTCCCGATTTGTTCGCAACAGGCAAATTATTTTACCTGTGAATTTACATAATGATTGTACGGATTATTTAATATGGAGAGTGCAAACTAATGTAGCGAAAGTAATTCGATCGTAAAACTAAGAAGTCTGTTTTTTGATGCAATCTATCGCGCATAGATCTAAAAATCGTGCAGCGATTAAATTGCCTTCACGACCGGTTTTTCGTAAAAATCTGAAAATTCTGAAAATAATAAGTTGCGTGTTCAACGAGATCGGAAAATCGACTTCCGATCTCTTAGCGGAATTACAATAATTTAACTTTCACAGATAAAAAAATCTAATTAATATTCAACGCGTCTTTATTAATTATCGGGTATATAATGGACTGCTTTATTTCTTCAAAAAAATTTGAAAAAACTTGAGAATTTCTCCATGGCATAATTCTCATTTTAATAATAGCTTAAAACTCGCACCATATACACATAAGGTAGATTTATTTGACGCAAATACATATACATCCGTGTTTAGGTATAAAATAATTTTTTTTCCCTGATTTATTGCCCGTCTCTGAACGTGATCTAGATTATATTCACAATTTCACGCTGACTTACTTTGATCTAGTCTAGTCTGTACTCTTTAGTTTACCGCGCCTTCACTCTGAAGCTATTCCTCGTTATGCTGCATAATATATTTCGTGTTGTTGATGCGATTGTACAATTACCGTAAGAAAAACAGCGGGTCACGATATCCGTTGTTTTGAGATCAGAAATGAATTCGCGTGACCGACATCGCCTATCACGACTTAAAAGCAGAATATTTGAATGATGACAATTTTGGCCTTCATCCAGGTAAATTCGTTTGGCCATGGACCTGGCACTGAATACACAATTGCGGGTTTGCGACTATTTTTGATCATCTCTAGCGAGATGAGGACATTCAGGTTACCGATTTCGAGAATACGATTAAATGAGAATACAAAAATTTATTTTTTATTAAATAAAAAAGGAGGAACATAAAGAAAATGTAAAGAGTGAAAAGAGCCAGACATTCAATACATATGTCTGTATAGAATACCGAAATTGAACTTTCACATCGATATTAAGTGTTAAAAAATATAAAAAAAAATAAATATTCTAAAATGGTAATTTTTTAGTGACTTATTAATTATTCATTTCTCTTCAAAACACTCTATAGCTGTCTACGAACAAAATTTACTTTTCAATACACCGATCCTTTATGTGGCTTTATGCGAAATACATCTTCTTGCGACCCAGACACATCTCGGGTACAAAGTCTCGTACATCTCTAGCCTTGAGCTTCGTTGATTCAGCGCTTCTCTCACCGAAATAAGATCAAAGCGCAGGAAACCCGGAGCTAGTTTCCCCGAAGCCACTGCCACTACACGTACACACAGCCAATGAAAATGTTATGCAATAGGTGCATTCACAAGAAGATTCTCATTTTCGAGAACACTCTTTGGTCTCGTCTCTTCGCGTTTCTTTTCAGCATGTCATGATTCCACGTGCATTATTATATCACAATGTCTCATCATATCAAATACTATAATATAATCAATCAACGAGTTACTTCATTCATGATTTGTTTCAGAACAATTTTTATCACATTTATTAAGTATAATTTAACAAAATAATGTTCCTTCTATTACAAATGATTTTGAGACAATTTATATATTTACAATTCTTTGACTTGCGATATTTTGAAGTAAATTAAAGGCAGTAGAAATAAATCATTATTTTTCTGCAATTCTTCTAGGTAAATCATAGTCTACACATATTTCTGCAATTGCGTGTTACATTTTTATTGTATACAATTCGCTGTATTAATGCATCATTATCTATTACGTCGACAAAATGATCAACACGATAGTAAACATCAACCATTAAGCAATAACACGTAAACATGTTTTCCCTCATACTGACTCGTGCGCTTTCCATATCGATCCTATCGCGTCATCGAATCGACCAGTTTCGAGTGGCCGCGGGCTTCGAGTGTCATCAAGACGAGAATGACGAGCTTCCACGAATGCAAAGCTCGCATGTTGACGCGATGAATTGCGTGTAGTGGCAGTGACAGACCGCGATATTAGTCGCGGTCATTTGCATAACTTCCTCCGCGATGAATCTCTCTCTTACATAACTTTGGAAATTTTTAGAATAATTATCATAATACGAAAATATCATGTTTTGTTATTTATTTCTTTATCTAAATGCTTGAACAATATTTTTTGTACATATTTAAATTTTGTATTGATTTACAAAATATTCTTGAAAGATTGAAATTCAAGATTGTAAAAGGAGTGACACGAATCTTGTATTTATAAATATATAATTGCATTCACATTAGTATGCATTTATCGAGACCGATTCGTTCATTTAAATAACGAGTTTTCTTTATAATTAAATCAATTGTTTCCGGTTTAATCGTTTTATTATAACGTTAAGTCGATATTCGAAAGAACAGTTAACAACAATCTATATTTTTAAAAGCTTTAGTCATATATCACATATGTAGATATATGCAAAATTATTTAAATGGTATTGCAGTAAGCACAGTTATATTCTGAATACAGCAACGATTGAACACACTTTTTCTACAGAAATTTCTTTCAATTTTAAATGTGACTCGATCATACGAGACCGATAATATATTCATTATTTTGGCAAAAAGAAATTCAGTTTTTAATATTTGTGAATAATATAAAAATAAATCAATGAGACAGAGAGAGAATTATATATTTTTGTTTTAGTAAAACTTTTTTATACAATGTAATCTACATCTCTTTTATGTGTATGAGATTAAATATTAATTATAATTATAACACGATTTACTGAAAGACATGCTGTTGCTTCTCTTTATGATTTTTGAATAAATAATTAAAAATAAAATAGGTAATTGTGATATATATATATATATATATATAGTTTTAAAATTTATATATTATACGCGATATGCGAATCATTTCGTAAACTGTTCCTATTCTGTGATAAAAATATTTTCAGGAATTTAATAAGATGGTAAACAGATTGTTTATCTATTCAAGATTACATGTGGCACATAATCTATGCCACATGTAGTAAACAATACGTATAAATTGCGATTCTATAAATAATTTTAGATAATTGTGCCAAGAGAACTTATATTCTGAAGCAAGTAAACGCATATCACGAATAAATGCCATAAAATAATAAAGCTCCATTATTTTTGTAAAATTTAAATTAATTTTTTAAGTTAATTAAAGAATAATATACAATTTTTTCGCAAAAACAAAATTAGAAGAAAACAAGAAAAATTACTTAAATAGAATTCTGAAGCACGTGAAAACAAACATATCGCGAATAAATGCCATGAAATAATAAAGCTCCATTATTTTTGCAAAATCTAAATTAATTTTGAAATTAATTACAGAATAATATACAATTTTTTCGCGAAAACAAAACTAGAATAGAGCAAGCAAAATGACTTTAATGGAAGTAATAAAATGAACTTTAATCTTTTGTTTAATTTTGATATATTTTTAAGTTTCTTTGAGAAAACAATGAAACATTGGAATTTTCTAATTCCTGAAGAAATATCAGAACATTCCTATATTAAAGACCAAATTTTTGACAAAATTACGAAATCAGTGTCATGTGTTACTCACCTCAAGGAAAGCGAACTGTCGAAACGTACGAATCGTCGATGCTCCTCGGCGAACACGTGGTGCGATGAGGTTTTAAACGGGATCGACGACCACACGCTTGCGACTTTCGAGCTTTTTTAACACGCCGGATCTGTCGTAAAGGCACAAATGAAAAAATAGTATTTCGTGCTCGAGTGGCTATGCTTGACTGAAGAAACGGTTTCAAAGTCTGCGTGAACTAATCGCGGAATTGATATACGTTGACGTATATATACACGCAGACGTATGAATTTGTAAATGTATACACAGCGTGGATATGTGCGTGTGTATGACTGACACGTGTGCGAAAGAGTGCGATGCGTGAATACGTCTAACGCGTACGAGCGATTGAAACAAACTGAAATCGCAAGCGAGCGCGGTCCGAAGTTTATCGTCGTGACGGAAACTGTCTGAAAATATATTGCTTGCTACGTACAGGGTGTTCGAAAAATACGCGTATAATAGCGTTTCAGATTCAGACCCAATATTGCGATTTCCGCGAATTCTCGCTTAATTAAAAACGAATGTATCTGATATGCACGTGTGAGCGATTACTTCTCTATTTATCACATGAGCTTTGGATGAGAAAGAGAGAGAGAGGAATAGAAAATATTTTAAATATTATGACATGGCGCGCGCTAATATTTTTTTATACATTTTTGGAGATTAGATTTGATGGAGCTTAAAGTCACGTATTTCAAGACAACCGTGTTAATCCGAATCGCGCGCGTGTATACGCACTCGTTGACAGGTGTACACATATGTGTGAGATAGAGAAACCACGCGATATGTTTTCGCACAAGAAGAACTCGGCGATTGGTCGTTTCGGATCAGACCAGCGGTCGAGCCTCTTTTGCCTCAAGGAGAGCAAAATATGTTAAAGACACCATTGGCCTAGATCGACATTGAGGCATCGTGCGATGCCGAAAAACACTTATACTGCTCACGCCATCAACAAACCGCCAATTATTTCGTTTCAACAGATTAGTGTCCTCCAAATGTCATGTCATCTTGCCTAATAAATTAATGCAATTTCGTTAAATGCTACATACATTCTACGCATCGAAAAAGGCACCTTGAATGAGTGCAACGTACTCTTCGTTTATAGTTTTCCGAAGATTGCTGTTAATAATGAGATTATGTATCTTTCTTCCGGACTAAACTGCCGGACTTCAAAAAACATATTATTGTTGTTTTCATGTCACTTTTCTTTTTCGAGAAATTAAAACAATCATTTTCTTATCTAGATTTTATTTCATCATTTTTTTAGAGAAAGAGAGAGTATTATTATTTCTAGTTTTATATAAATAATTAATTGAAGATTATCATCTTTCTTTAATAATTGATAATAAAAAATAAAAGTTAATAACACGTCGTATCAAATCAGTGACCTAAATCTAAATCAGCTTAAAATTGCGTTTCGAGAGATAACTTTGTGACGTGTCCGTAAAAAAATATTTTTGTGCCCCTTATCGTCTGATTCTCTCATCATAAACAACTTTACATTTTCAAAAAAACAAGTCTTAACAAACTTAGTACATTGACATTTTCGAATCAGGAATAAAATCACGCTTAAAAAATAGATAATTGATTCATTATCCTATCATTTTCTTTATACTTTAAAACTTTTTACTCAAGACATATTTTTTATTTTGTCGTCTCTTTATATTATACCATCACTTCAGTATACTAATATGAAAGATACAAGACAGTTAATTATTGTGAGAAATTATGTTTTTAACTGTCAAGTTTAAAAGATATGCACACGTCCGGTATAATGTAACAAAGACATAATAAAATCTTGATTTTTGCGAAGGAATAAAATATATATTTTATATATTGTATGATGATATTGTTGCATTGTACGCCCGTTACATAACGATAATATGAAAGTTTCATTCAGGATGACTGTTAAAGTTGGCATATGAGAAAGAGAAAGGGAGAGAGGAAAAGAGAGAGATCGATAAGCAGTATTTGATACTGATAACATTATTCGCTACAAAGTACGTCATCAGCTAATTATGCTATCTATCAATTATCTATCGAAATAAATACTTGAGAAAACTCTAGTTGATTTTGTTTTATTAAAATGTTATACTCATTCAAATATTTTAAACTTTTAATATATATAATAATTTTAATTTGCATATTTATTATATATTATTTTAATATACATATATTATACATTACATTTTTGACTATTTTATTATAGTATCTCTCTTTTTCTTTCTATATATTCCTTCGCGAAATATAAAATTGCTGCAAAAGAGACCGTAAGAATGAAAACATGACTTTATGAAAAATATGATTCTTTAAAAAAATATACTTCTTTCTATATGTGTTAAAGGGTGCAATTTTCGCATAAAGAAGATCATATAAATTTAACATTATACTTCGATTTTATGCACTAACTTTATCGAAACAGTACGTTGACTTTGTTTCATTTATCAGACCAGGGGTTGTGTTAAAAGGGTTAAAAGGTTAATTTTTATTGTAATTTTTATCAACACTCGCGCACGTGACTCACAATATGTTGAACAAAGCGAATTCGCGCGTTATCTCTACGAGAACACACATACTGTGAAATAACATGAACACACGATAATAAGAAAATGTATGCGAGGAGTATTGACCGCTGTTTGACGTATAATCAATACATAAAAGTTTACATAATAAGAAGAAAAAAGGAATGCTACATCATATATGTATACATTCATTTACGTCCAATAGTTTCCGAATCGATTCGCAAAAACATGCACATACTTGAACACATCTTTCCGTATTTTGTCATTGAGAAAAAGTTATGTCATTTTAAAATTCAAAAAGATAGCTGAAGCCAGTATTATACATTTGTGACGTATGTTAAAATACGTGACAATAAGTGATATGTTCGATTTTTAATTTTTTTAAATTTATCTAATAGCAATTTCAAAATCTAACTTGACACAATGATGCAGATCAGCTGATAAAGAGAAAAACATGAATTTGAACATTAATAGCGAAGCATCAAGATATTATTTCCAAGTCCTGTCATTTCAATTCGAAAAAATCATTTGATTTTACCATCGTACATATTTGTACGTGTTGCACATTCCTGGCGATTTTGCAATGTTAATGTTACTCGTTTATATTTAAAATTATATGGTTTCCCCCGTATCAAACATGAGTGTTCGCGAAGATTTTGATGTGTCAGCGTCGGTCTCGCTGTCGCGTTTCGCCCTTCGTTCGTTTATCCACCCCCGGAGAATGCGTTGGTGGTGCGACGCGGTATCGAGCTTCCTCGCGATATTCGCGACGAGCAGACGATAGTGTCTGTGTTACGTCACACGCGGGAGTCGTTCGCGAGGTCACCGACCTAGAGCGAGTCTAGCGATACTAGCCGCGGCTTTTGTGCGCAAGACCGAGCGAGTGGATCGCAGGAAATATCCCGAAGGCGAAAATGGAGCAACACAAAAGCGTGCGCGACGTACTCGCGGTTTCTCCTCAACGACCGCGTTCGTTCAACCGCAGAAGGAGAAAGCATCCGCGAGCCTCTCTCGCGCGCCTCCTTCCTTCTCCACGCGATTCGTATACAATTAATGAAACCTCGATTATTCAAACAAATTCTTTTCCTCGCGTGTATGTTATTTAAACAGCTGTCTTCTGGGAAGTATGCCATCGGCGCGTGGAAAATATTTTCTATTTTTTTTTTTTTCATCTGTATTTTTCTCCAAAGGAGCATTTAACGAGATCTGTCACATTTTGAAACGTTTATTAATTAATTTTTCATATAGTAACATCTGGCAATTTAACGCGCTTATTAATGTGATCAAGATTTGAAGAGAGTCGAAAAGTGAAATATTCTGTAGCGTTTGATTCGGATAATTAAAATTTTATTAGGTTAATATGAGGTAAGAATGAATAAAAAAAGATTATAAGTCGTTATATGCATTGATTGCATCGTAAAATGATGATATCGTTATCCGTTATTGGAATAATAAGGTAGAACGACACGCTGACATAATTAATTCGAAAAATATTATGCTATTATGAAATATATACTAGGATCTTGTTTTGCTCGTGTGTATCTATATAGTTATGCTGATGTCTCTCTAGTGCGCGCGCGTTCTTACGCATCAGATTTCGTAATTAAAGCGTAGTAAAGAGACGCTATGATACACCCACTGTTTCTCGAGCCGCGATTGGTCCATCGTAACTGGTTTCTCGAGGACGAATTTGCCGACAAACAAGATTGTTTTTCACTCGTGATTGCTTCCTCTGCAAAGTGCGTCACTATTTCGTACCAGGAATCTAAAAGATGATAACAACAATATCATAGAAATGTGAGAAGAGATAAAAAGTTGTCAGCAAATCTTGAGTAACGCCCAGGCATAAATAATAATTTGCGAAATCGTCATTTTAATTTGTAATGCTAATAAACAAATAATTTAGAAAGAAAGAAATTTCCACGCTCTGAGTAAACATGTAGATGTATATACATCAAATTTTTATTAAAGAGAGATATAACATTTGGCAAGAGATTTGAAATAGTAGAAGATATCATAACAATATTTGCCTACATAATCTACATTCTACAATAATGTAGAAAAAAAATGATAAAAAAGATATTTATATAGATAATTAAATTAGATTATTTTATAGAGATTGGATAATTTTACAAGTTAGAAATTTTTAAAATTGCACAATTAAAATGCCCTATTTTTAATAGAAACTTTTGTAATAAAAATAAAAAATAAAGTTTTTTCATCGAGATCTTTTTACATCGATGTTACTAGAATCGCAAATGCTGACGCGCCATTTAAATCAAATATTGGTTATTCATGGAATATCCTAATTACATTTTGCAATATAAATAGATAATGAAGTTTGTCTTGTTAATGTTATATTAAATGATTTACAGAGAGCGCCACGAAACGAGGTGGATTCTGTGTCGATAACGAACTTCGAGAGTCTTTCTCTCGAAGACAGAAATCGACTTTACCTCGTTAAATAAAGATAATGAACGAGCAAATGAGTAAATGGCATTTTAACATCAGTGCAAAAATTACTAGGCAAATCTAAATATTTTAACGGTTCAAATATTTGATATAATATAATAAAACATGCTTGAAAGTAGAGGATAGTTATTCAATATTAAATATAAATTATAAATAAGAAAAATTGAATGTTATATTTTTGTTTTAACATAAATTTTATCTAATTTTATTCACTCTTTCTCTCTCTCTTCCTTACACATATTTTATACAAAGTAATGAAATATATAATAGATCCTTATTTCTATTTGATATTTCGCATATATTTTAAATAATCTATTAAAAATAATATAAAATTATAATATATATATATATATATATATATATATATATATATAATTAGATTCTCTCTTAAACTATTTTATAACTTTAATGTGTGATCATAAGAATTTCTAATGATTTGATTAGACGATATTTAATTAATAGCGTTTTCCTCTGCACACGTGCATATTTCTTTGTTATGATTTATTTTTATCATATTCATATATACATGTGCGTCTTTAATAATATATCCTTTGTTTTCCATCGATTCATTATTGCGTATTAGGGATATCTATGTGATAAAACGTGATTAAAAAAATGTGTTATTTTGATTGATGATTATCGAGATAAATAGTCTGTCATGCATTTATATGATTATTTGGTAATGCATATATTGGATTTATGTGAAGAATTTATAAGGACGATGTGACTATAAGAAATTAATATAGTCTTATCACAATCGCCATGAAGTTTGTTTACATTGTTCTAATATTTATCGCTCGGACTACTTTAGCCGAGTTAGAAACTTGGTGAGTATATAATAATAATTTTATATACTATTTTCCATCGATTCATTATTAGGTATATCTATTAGGGATATCTATAATAAAAATGTGATTTAAAAAATGTGTTATTTTAATTGATGATTATCGAGATAAATAGTCTGTCATGCAGTTTATCTGATAATGCATATAATGGATTTATGTGAAGGATTTATAAGAATGTGACTATAAGAAATTAATATAGTCTTATCACAATCGCCATAAAGTTTGTTTACATTGTTCTAATATTTATCGCTCGGACTACTTTAGCCGAGTTAAGAAATTGGTGAGAGAGTATATAATAATAACTTTATATAATATTTTCCATCGATTCATTATTAGGTATATCTATTAGGAATATCTATGATAAAATGTGATTTAAAAAAAATGTTATTTTGATTGATGATTGTCGAGATAAATAGTCTGTCATACAGTTTATCTGATAATGCATATATTGGATTTATGTGAAGGATTTATAAGAACGATGCGACTATAAGAAATTAATATAGTCTTGTCACAATCGCCATGAAGTTTGTTTACATTGTTCTAATATTTATCGCTCGGACTACTTTAGCCGAGTTAGAAAATTGGTAAGTACACAATAATAATTTTATATACTATTGTTATACATTATGATTAAAATTTTTCTATTGTATCCAAAACCAAACATTTTTTTGAACCTTAAAAAATTATTCTCTCTAAATATATGCAGTATTATCATAATAATTATTTATTATTTATATTTGCTTACCAATTTTTTATTTACATATAATTGTATGAAATACGTTTAAACAAATTCCATTTTAATTCAATATTATTCTAGTCGAATTAGAATCATATAAATGTAAAATTTCAATAATTATAGGGAGATTATCGAATTCGAAACTCGGAATGTTAATTTGAACGAGCTTACGGATCGTTCCATTCCTTTTATTGCGAAATTTATCAAAAAAAGTGACCTGGATCCACTCAAACTTCCAAATGCCAAACAAAAATTATGGACGGTATATATAATACTTTCTTTACTACTATACACTATAAAATTTAGAATCATTATTTAAATCATAAAATAATTTAATTAAATATTAACAATATAACCGCTTAATTACACAGCAAATACACATTTATTATAACACATTAGAATGAATTTTTGTTTGCTGAATAAAGATTCAATGAATCGTGAGTATGCGAATCTATCATCTATGTAGTGAGAAACCAGTTGTCACGTAAGAGAGTCATTATTACGGTAAACGAACGCGAACGTTCGCTCACAATCGAATGAGAGGTCGGCTCGAAAATCAGGAGAAAGCTGGGTTTCGGGGTCAGAATCGGGATTCGAGGTCAGCGGGCCGCTGCGCGAAAGTACGCACGCGCTTAATCTCGGGGCCGTAGAAAGCGAAACCGAAGAGTTGGGCCTTGCACGAGAGCGAGAGTGAATTCTCGGTATGACACTTTCCAGCGTTGACCTTGGGTCGAGGTGTACCACGGTCAAACGCCGAGGTCATCCCTCGCCTCGCGTTTTCGCCAAGCTCATTTTTGACGCTCCGAAGGCTAACGCGTGAACTTGGACGAGAGTGAAACCGAGGTTTCATCCGGCAGAAGGCGAGCATCGGCACAAGTTCAATGCCGTTGTACGTCAAATGCTTATAAATTCTTCCGGGATTGCGTCGGCCGCGAATCCAGCCATTTATCTCTCTCGATAGTACCGCAAACTTCAATAATAGTATAAAAAGAGAAAATATTTTTAAAATCTGCAATGTTTTGAGAAAATACTAATAAATTTTAGTTTTTCAAGCATTGGTATATTAATCTTGCGAAGTTACTTTATGAGAAAAATTCGGATTCTATTTTATAGTATTGAAAATTTTATTAACACTTTTGATGCCTATACAAGCGTAATTATTAATATTTATATTTTATGTACATTTTATTTATGTATATTTATGTATATTTAAAATTATGTATATTACGTATATTTAAAATTGTTTCACGCGCATTTAAAAAAAACCAAGACTAATCAATTTTCAATTTTAACTATGATATTTTTACGTGAATATCTTACAAATGTGATAACTAAATAAAATATATATAATTATTCTATAAATTTTATTAATAAAATTACGTAAATATTAGGACTAACTAGTTAATCAAATTATGAGTGATCACATTTGTGAGATATTCATGCAAAAATGTTATAATTAAAATCGAAAATTTATTAGTCTCAATTTTAAGTGTACGTAAGGCAATTTTAAATCGCGTCATTATATATGTTGAAAATTCAAGAGAACTTACAATAAGAATTTGTAAAATAAAACTAAAATATACAATGTTTTTGTTGTAAGGAAATTTGTTTCACATTCTATAAAGATCTTGATCTTATTGATATTTTCATGTTGCAAGCATTCAGATAATGCAGTCGCAGCGATAAACATCTTACTCAACCATACGTGCTTTATTTCATTAGATTTCGATAAATCATATTTTCTCATAATTAGAATTATCCGATAACGATATTAATCACGATTTTATTAAGATGGAAGTATGTTTGAGCTGTTATTAATTTTGTCACCAGCAAAATGCGAATCTTCCAGACACAAAGACATACAAAGTCGATCTCATTTTGGAGTCGGGAATCTTGAAAGGTTTGTCGAATTTGGAGCGTCACAATAATGCTACCTTAAGTTACGCAGACAGGATATTAAAGTTGGACATTGGTTTCGAATTCAAACTTTTACAGGTAGCTCGAGCTGATCTTTTTACTTTTTATTTTTAGCTCTTCAAAAATAATATAAGAAAAGTTGTCGATTATATTTTTCTGAGCATTATTTTGTCTATATGTTTATTTTATTTTATTTACTTAATGTATTAATTTTATTTATTTGCTACTTTATCACGACTTTTTAATATTTAGGCGACTTATGATTACATCGTAAACCTGGGCTTTACAAAACTTAAGGGTCGCGTTAAAGCTTCAGCGGACAATGTACGCGCTATAATTAATATTACATTTAACACCACAGATTATATCATCGCCCTCAAGAAACTCGACTTACAAGTTCCTAGGTAATTTCTGTTAATTGTAAAATTAATATTAGCGCAGATTTTATCTTATGCTATATGTAGCTATATAATGAAAGCTTCTATAGATATAATGTAATTATCTAATATTTCATTATTATAGTCGCATTAAAGTGACAGTCGAAAATAAGAACGGATCGGTGAATTGGGTAAACACAGCTATCGTCAATATTATATCTCCGTTCTTCAAGAATACGATTATGACCGCCGTACGAGAAGAAGCTACGAATGTGATTCGAACGTACTTGAATGAAATAAATCGTAAATATGCTCCGCGTAAAAAGTTGATTTATACTTTACAATATCATTTATTGAAGGAAAGTTTAAATAAACCGTTTAATTTAATGTTCTAATATAATATATTATTTGTACATATATATATAATATATATATATATATATATATATCCTATGTTTTTTAAATATATATTAGACGTTTTATTATATGTATATTTATTTATTATATATATTTATTTATAAGCATACGCTCTTCTATATCTACATTGATATATAGTGAAATTTCCAATTTGTACCTATTTTTATGTGATAATGTTTATTATAAACAAATTGGTAATCTATACATTACGAAATATATCTTAGTTTTGTGATACTCAAATGTATACACGCTATCCTTACCGGTTAAAATCAAACAGCCCAGTGAGCATTACTGAGAGGATGAACTCTTGAAGAGAACTTTTTAGAGAATTAATTTTCTATAGAAATGATATCACGAAGTAATCTTTTTGTAAGATATCTTTCAGAAGAATTCTTTTATGATGTCTTTTTATATGATGTCTATAGAGTCTCTAGCAAGCGTGCTATTTAAATTATTTTAGCAACATACACGCATGCACGGAGAAAAAATTAAGGTTGCCACAGCAAAATAAAACTATTATTTTTCGCCCACAGAAAAGGATTGTGGGAACCATAGTACTCTGGAAGTGACCTATATGATTGCCCCAACCTTAGCGAGGGTAGCTACTATATGGATGTCATAACTGTAATGATTATTTATAAATACAGTTTCTGCAACCATAGTTATGCCAATATATATATATATATATATATATATATATATATATAATAGAGAAAGACAATTGCATCATACAACTTCGACAACAGCAGCAGATCAACTCGCGAAGATAATTCTAATCTTTGTGCTGTTATAAGATCTGCTCTTTTCAACTGAACTGGCTACACTAGTTTGGAGGTTATCTTTTTCCTTCCGCAATGTCGAGCAAAAAAACAACCTCTGAACTAGTGTAATCAGCTGAAAAGAACGAACCTATTATTCACTTAATTATTCACTCACAACAACATAAGGATCAGAATTATCTTCGCGAGTTGATCTGCTGCTGCTGTCGAAATTGTATGATGCAATTGTCTTTCTTTATTATATATATATATATATATATATATATATATATATATATTTAGCACATGGTTGCAGGAACTGTATTTATAAATAATCATTACGGTTAGAACATTCATATAGCAGCTACCTTCGCTAAGGTTGGGGCAACCATATAGGTCACTTCCAAAGTACTACATATGATTCCTATAATCTTTTTCTGTAGATAAGTAAAAAATAACAGTATTATTTGCTGTGTCAACCTTAATTTATTCTCCGTGTACAAATAGCTATTCTTAACGATAACCTTTCTTTGATAGTTAGAAGAAGTCAGATTGTGTAATTCTTTCAGATGTCATTTATGTGATGTCTTTCTTTCCTCTAAAATCGACTTATTAGGCTTATTGATATCATAATATATTATTTTGATGGTATTATCTTAAGTCAGATTCTCAAACTTGAATACTTTGTGAATTTCTTTTGATAACATATTGCTCACTGGAAGATAAGGCATAATAAAATGGTAGGAATTGAGAATAAAATAGGGAAGATTGTCAAGTCACCCAGTAGTTGAATAGTCAGTGCAATCATGGCTGGTCGAATACAATTGGCATTCCTCTTCTCAATCGTAGCACTGGTGCTGAGCGCGCTTGCACTCAAAGAGAAAAACTTAAATGTGTAAGTTTATATGCTAATAAATCTTCGCAATTTTTCGTAATTTTTCTAGTTTATTTTCTAATTATTTAACTTTATTCCGAGAATTAAATTAGCGAGAATTGAATAAGTAGCAATCGATCTTTTAATATTTTTAACATCGCCGTGAGTTGCAATTGATTTTGCAATTGATTTGACGATGCACTCTTTAAATTTTTTTCAAACAAATTTTGAAATTTTTCTCTTACGATCATAAAATTAACTCATTTAACTATGGCTTTGAATTCGATATGAACGAGTTATGACTGAAGCGTACGACATATACACATTTTTATATTGTGCAGTGCTACACATGACGGAGAAAAAGTAGTGATTCTTGATGAGAAAATCGATGAATTGCTACCGGTTATACGTGAACTTATTCTAAAAAATGGATTAGATCCAGCGAACGTACCAGATATTACCCAAGATATTGATCCAAATATTGTAAGTATAATTAATCAATATAAATCCGTTCATTAATATATATATATACAAGTATACATATATAATATTTTAGCTTTCTTCATGGAGGTCTAAAACTGCAGTAGAGTTCTTGTTTGAGCTTACGAAATAAATATTGCAAAATTTATCAACAATTAAACGTACGGAACGGGTACATGGAATAAAATGTAAAATATCTTGTGAAATATTCAATTTTCAATTCTGTGCATAAAAGTGTTAAAGTAATATTATCGAAAATTAAATATTTCACAAGTATTTTACATTTTATGTCTAAAAATTGACTGATTAGAATAATTAATTGCGGTAAAACCATTAATTGCATTGAAAAATTATATTAGACATTTATTCTTATATTTCTATTTTTTATCAAATGGCATATGCAAAACTTTTTTAACACCCGATATATGTATATATATATATATATATATATATATATATATATATATAATATTTTAGCCTGGAAAAATAAATATCATGATCGAGCATACGAAAGGAATATTGCAAAATTTATCAACAATCAAACGTACGGAACGGGTACATGGAATATACAAGGACAAAGTTTTAACGTTGGATATGAATCTTCGATTTGACGTGTTGAACGTAAGAAAACGAGACAGATACAATATAACGCTAATCAATATTAAAACGTTGCGACAATTTTTAAAACAAGTTTTAAAGAAGTATATCTGTTAACGTTTATTTGTATAATTTTCAGTGTAGCTACGCAACTGCTCTCAGCTTAATAGGTGACACAATGACTGGTGGCGTATATGGTCGTTTCTACGATCTGGACATTAATATCGTAGCGAGGATAGATATGGTTAATTATTATGTATATCTTGATTCCCTCAAGTTTTCTGATGTTAGGTAAATATTACTTTTTACATTTTCTCTATACCTATCGCGCGTAGACATACGAGAAACGAAACATATAGAAAAAGAATCCGATCACATAAATATCGAGCGCGATCGATATCGATGAAATGTTTATCAATTCCCGATGTCATAAATCACATTACATCGATTCACGGTGATAACAAATTGTTTTCGCGACTGCGATAAATTTGCAATATTAAACAGGTGAGCAGGATCAAAATGGCAAACAGATAATAATCACAATACGGTATCTGAAATTACAGATAATCATCGATTTTAATAAAAAAACAATAATTACCTTGTAAAAATTATTGTCAAACTTTATTTCAACTCTTACAGATTGCGTTTTACTGATTTTTGGAACCTAATTATCGATGTATTTTTCAAATAAAATATTTTTTATTTGTCGCGCAATAATAAAGTATCAAACTCTTAATGTAATACATACATAAGTTAATTTTACGAGTTTCCAAATTTAATTTAATGTATAATTGTACTATTTATAACACACTGTAAGCTATATAAGCACGAATTTTATACCTATAGTTTTATTTGATAAAACAACTGGTTTTTTTCCACAGAAAATTTGAGAGTCATCTATCAGATTTACCGAACCTAAACATTCTGACTGAAGAATTTAAATATTTTTTCGAATACAATATATTGACAGTCATTGAGAAGCGTTCCCTAGAAATGTTCCGTGAAAAAATCGATGAATGGAATAACAAGTTTCCACGGCCAAATTTGACTTGGATAGTAGATATAGGCGAATTGATTCATAACTTGGATAAGTGCTAAACAAATTATAGATTCTTATTTTTAGAACACCCTTTTCTAAAGTAGGAAACATTCATAATACCAAAAGAATCATTTTACTTTAAGGGAGGAATCCTCTAAAGAGTCAGATATACCTAATTTAAAAATACAGACAAAATGAGAATTATTTTTATATTAATAAAATAAATACATTATTTTACAACACAAAGCAAAGAAAGACTGTAAAGAAAACAGATGTAATAAATTTAGCCTACAAGTACAAGATTTTTGTCCTGAACGATGAAATTAGAATTATGTTACATACTTGCACTTATTCATGACCACTTTTTTAAGACATTTTTAAGTCTTCTTTTCTGATAATGAGTCATTTATTAATTTAATCTATTTTTCTAATAAATTAAAACAGTTACAAACACTGCAACTATAAATTGCAACACTATATATAATCATATATGTTGCTGTAACTATACAGAATCATATAACATCAAATAAACACATAAAAAACATACGATCATTTGTTATTAACAAAAAAATATTGTTAGTTTTAAAGGATGTTCAAGAAACACTTAAAAATATTTGTTAAGAAAGATTTTGTGGTATATATGTAGTATATATGTATAGTATAGTATATATGTAATTTTTACTTTGAGAATAAATTTTTTTGGTGTAACTCTATTAATCTTTGTTATTTTATTGAACTTTTCTTATTTTGTGTTCCAAAAATAAAACACGAATTTTTACGATGCATTTCGTTATTTTAACAAATCAAAACATGCAAAAATGTTATAATTAAAATCGAAAATTGGTTATTCTCAATTTTAAGTGTACGTAAGGCAATTTTAAATCGCGTCATATATATGTTGAAAATTCAAGAGAATTAACAAGAGAACGAACAATAAGAATTTATAAAATAAAACTAAAGTATACATTGTTTTAGTTGTAAGGATATTTGTTTTACATTCTATAAAGATCTTGATCTTATTGATATTTTCATGTTGCAACCATTCAGATAATGTAGTCGCAGCGATAAACAACTAAACATCTTACTCAACTATACGAACTTTATTTTGTTAGATTTCGATCAATCATATTTGATCATCAGAATTATCCGATACCGATTTTATTAAGATGGAAGTATGTTTGAGCTGTTATTAATTTTGTCACCAGCGAAATGCGAATCTTCCAGATACAAAGATATACAAAGCCGATCTCATTTTGGAGTCGGGAATCTTGAAAAGTTTGTCGAATTTGGAGCGTCCCAATAATGCTACCTGAAGTTACGCACACAGGTTATTAAAGATAGACACTGGTTTTGAATTCAAACTTTTACAGGTAGCTCGAGCTGATCTTTCTACTTTTTATTTTTAGCTCTTCAAAAATAATATAAGAAAAGTTGTGGATTATACTTTTCTGAGCATTATTTTGTCTAAATATTTATTTTATTTTATTTACTTAATTTATTAATTATATTTATTTGCAAGTGATATTACATGTCACTATAATACTTTATCACGACTTTTTAATATTCAAGCGACGTATGATTACATCGTAAACCTGGTCTTTGTAAATCTAAAGGGTCGCGTTAAAGCTTCAGCGGAAAATGTACGCGCTATAATTAACATTACATTTAACAACACAAATTATATATTGGCCTTCAAGAAATTTGATTTACAAGTTCCTAGGTAATTTCTGTTAATTGTAAAATTAATATTAGCGCAGATATTATCTTATGCTATATGTAGCTATATATATATATATATATATATATATAGCTACATATAGCATAAGATAATATCTGCGCTAATATTAATTTTACAATATAGATAATTATCTAATATTTCATTATTATAGTCGCATTAAAGTGACAGTCGAAAATAAGAACGGATCAGTGAATTGGGTAAGCACAGCTATCGTCAATATTATATCTCCGTTCTTCAAGAATACGATTATAACCACCGTACGAGAGGAAGCTTTGAATGCGATTCGAACGTACTTGAAATAGGACGTGAATGAAATAGGTAAATCGTAAATTTGCTCCGCGTAAAAAGTTGATTTATACTTTAAAATATCATTTATTGAAGAAAAGTTTAAATGAACCGTTTAACTTAATGTTCTAATATAATATATTATTTGTACATATATATATATATATATATATCCTATGTTTTTTTAAATATATATTACACGTTTTATTATATGTATAATTATTTATTATATATATTTTATTTATAAGCATATACCCTTATATATCTACATTGATATATGGTGAAATTTCCAATTTGTACCTATTTTTATGTGATAATGTTTATTATAAACAAATTGGTAATCTATAGATTACGAAATATATCTTAGCTTTGTGATACTCAAATATATACACGCTATCCTTACCGGTTAAAATCAAACAGCCCAGTGAGCATTACAGAGAGGATGAACTCTTGAAGAGAACTTTTTAGAGAATTAATTTTCTTTAGAAATGATATCACGAAGTAATCTTTTTGTAAGATATCTTTCAGAAGAGCTCTTTTATGATGTCTTTTTATATGATGTCTATAGAGTCTCTAGCAAACGTGCTATTTATAGTATATTAGCTAACAAGTGCGAGGAATCGTAAATCGGTCGAGAGTGCGAAAGTTTGGCGCACGAGGCAAAGCCGAGTGTGACAATCCGCACGATCGGCAGATTTATGACCCACACATGTTACGATATTTTGTGTGACCGGTGCGTGGAAAGGGAGCCCTTTCTAAAATTCCATCATGTGCGTAAAGGGCGACTTTTCGCACGCCGGTTGCACAAATAGCAGTTATAATATTAACAACGAGTTCACATAACATAGATTTCGAGATAACTGTAATGATGATTTCGTACCGATGCCGACTTCGCCCCGGTCTCCCCTACTTTATAAATTTCTTTTGATAACATATTGTTCTCTGGGAGATAAGACATAATCAAATGATAGGGATTGAGAATAAAAATAGGTATAAGATTGTCAAATCGCCCAGTAGTTGAATAGTCAGTGCAATCATGGCTGGTCGAATACAATTGATATTTCTCTTCTCAATCGTAGCACTGGTGCTGAGCGAGCTTGCACTCAAAGAGAAAAACTTATGTGTGTAAGTTTATATGCTAATAAATCTTCGCAATTTCACGTAATTTTTCTAGTTTATTTTCTATCTACTTAACTTTATTCCGAGAATTAAATTACCGAGAATTTAATTAGTAGCGATCGATCTTTTAATATTTTTAACATCGCGCGAATTGCAATTGATTTAACGATGCACTCTTTAAATTTTTTTCAAACAAATTTTGAAATTTTTCTCTTACGATCATAAAGTTAACTCAGTTAACTATATGGCTTTGAATTCGATTTGAACGAGTTATGACTGAAGCGTTTGACACATTTCTAAATTGTGCAGTACTACACGTGACGGAGAAAAAGTAGTGATCCTTGATGATAAAATTGATGAATTGCTACCGGTTATACGTGAACTTATTATAGAAAATGGGTTAGATCCAGCGAAAGTACCAAATATGACCGAAGATGTTTTGCCAGTATTAGTAAGTATAATTATTCAATTAATAATAGATTCTGTTTTTTTCTCATTGTCATATTTTCTAATTTTAATAGAAAAAACTCATATTATCCATTCATTAATAAATCCGTTCATTAATAGTATATATATATATATATATATATAATACCATTTTCAATGCAATGAATACTTACGCCGCAATTAATTATTGTAATTAGTAAATTTTTAGACATAAAATGTAAAATATCTTGTGAAATATTCAATTTTCAATTCTGTGCATAAAAGTGTTAAAGTAATATTATCGTAAATTAAATATTTCACAAGTATTTTACATTTTATATCTAAAAATTGACTGATTAGAATAATTAATTGCGGTAAAACCATTAATTGCATTGAAAAATTATATTAGACATTTATTCTTATATTTCTATGTTTTATCAAATGGCATATGCAACACTTTTTTAACACCCGATATATGTATATATATAATATTTTAGCCTGGAAAATTAAAGATCGTGGTCGAGCTTACGAAAGGAATATTGCAAAATTTATCAACAATCAAACGTACCGAACGAATACTTGGAATATACAAGAACAAAGTGCTAACGTTGGATATGAATCTTGGATTTGACGTGTTGGATGTAAGAAAACGAGACAGACACAATATAACGCTAATCAATATTAAAACGTTGCGACAATTTTTAAAACAAGTTTTAAAAAAGTATATTTGTTAACGTTTATTTGTATAATTTTCAGTGCAGCTACGCATATGCTCTCAGAGTCCTCTTGCTCGGAAGGACTGGTGATACATATGGTCGTTTCTACGATCTGGACATTAATATCGTAGCGAGGATAGATATGGTTAATTATTATGTATATCTTGATTCCCTCAAGTTTTCTGATGTTAGGTAAATATTATTTTTTATATTTTTTCTATACCTTTCGTGCGTAGACATACGAGAAACGAAACATATAGAAAAAGAATCCGATCACATAAATATCGAGCGCGATCGATATCGATGAAATGTTTATCAATTCTCGATGTCATAAATCACATTACATCGATTCACGGTGATAACAAATTGTTTTCGCGACTACGATAAATTTGCAATATTGAACAGGTGAGCAGGATCAAAATGGCAAACAGATAACAATACGGTATCTGAAATTACAGATAATCATCGGTAATAAAAAAAAACAATAATTACTTTGTAAAATCTATTGTCAAACTTTATTTCAACTCTTACAGATTGCGTTTTACTGATTTTCGAATCTAATTATCGATGTATTTTTTAAATGAAGTATTTTTTATTTGTCGCGCAATAATAAAGAGTATAAAAACTTTTAATATAATACATACATAAGTTAATTTTACGAATTTCCAAATTTAATTTAATGTATAATTGTACTATTTATAACACACTGTAAGCTATATAAACACGAATTTTATACCTATAGTTTTATTTGATAAAACAATTGATTTTTTTCACAGAAAATTGGACATCAAATTTGAGGGTCATCTTTTAGATCCTATTTTAAACACTCTGACTAAAGCAGTCACAAGAGTTTTCAAAAATCGTATATTGACAATCATTGAGAAGCGTTCCCTAGAAATTTTCAATGAAAAAATCGATGAGTGGAATAACCAGTTTCCACGGCCAAATTTGACTTGGATAGGAGATATAGACAATTGGATTGATAACTTGAATAAGTGCTAAAAAAATTATACGTTCTTATTTTTAGAACACTCTTTTCTAAAATAGGAAACATTCATAATATCAAAAGAATCATTTTACTTTAAGAGAGGAATCCTCTAAAGAGTCAGATATACCTAATTCAAAAATACAGACAAAATGAGAATTATTTTTATATTAATAAAATAAATACATTATTTTACAACACAAAGCAAAGAAAGACTGTAAAGAAAACAAATGTAATAAATTTAGCCTACAAGTACAAGATATAATATTTGTTAAGAAAGATTTTGTGGTATATATCTAGTATATATGTATAGTATAGTATATATGTAATTCTTACTTTGAGAATAAATTTTTTTTGGTATAACTCTATTAATCTTTGTTATTTTATTGAACTTTTCTTATTTTGTATTCCAAAAATAAAACACTAATTTTTACAATGCATTTCATTATTTCAATAAATCGCAAGTAATACGCAAAAAGGTGTATGATGTTCTTCCTAACATTAATTGACTTGTCAATATAAAATATTTTCGAAAGTGAATAAATTCTTATCCGATATAATGCATAACATTAATAAATATTTTTATCTTTATCGTTCGACAATACACTGCAATGATAAACGCGATTTAATGTTTTGTAAGATAATGATCATTGATAAATGATATTTTGATTGTAAATCTTGACGGTCAAATCTGTCCAGGAAATGTCTTTATGAATAATATAATTATCACGATAAAATTCACAAGTCTATAAAATTGAGCGAGAAAGAGAGAGAGAAATATTTTACGAAAAATGTTTTACGATGCATTCCGTATTCACAGAGGTGAACTACGGTAGTTTCGACAGGCGAGTGACGAGCCTATCTAAAGTATCGATCAATATGCATTACTTACGACATTGTTAAGCCACAACTTGGCGTGCACAACTCGTGTCGCTTAATCTTATTAAACTTGGCCAAGTTTCCCGGGCACGTCGCATCTTGGCGCCGTTGTATCATCGACCTCGCAAGCCGGCTATAGCGCAATCTGCATAGAGATGGCTCCATGAAAGTACACGGGGTGGTCTCTGGGGATATCGCGAGGATTGTACGCGACGTTCTTGTTTATACATACAGTATTGCGCGGATATCGCGAGCACGGATCACTAGATCGATAATGCCAGGTGTGCTGATACTAATATTCCGATACCTCGTTTTATCCATCCCCCTATATCTAATTGCTCTTGTCGATTATTGATGTCTTTTGATCTTTGAATCAGTGAACTGAAAATTTCTAATGGAAGTCGCAATATATTAATAGTACGGAGAGATAGAGGGAGAGAGAGAAAGAGAGGATAGATAATAATTATTTTGTGAACAATATATGTTAAAATATATATTTATAATACATATATTGCTTCCTCATAGAGGAGAAGCTTTGTTTTTTAATATCTTTATATTAAATGTATATTTGATAATTAATTTAATGTAATTTGATCTTTTTCACGTAACGCGCGCTATTCATTTATCATTGCATTTTATTGATGAAGATGAATTAATTTAATACCAGGAACTTGCAAGATTCTAATAGCGCTGATCTCTTTACCCTAATGAGCATTGTACATTAATACGCTTATGCGGCGAAGGTTGCCTGTTACCAGGTGTATGTACCTGAATACTGGATACACACAGAAGCTTCTATTTAGCCGTGTAAATTTAACTGACGTTCATAGAGTAGTATAACATTTAGTCTCTTAATATATACTCGTACATATATGTATTGTTAAAACAACATTCAAAATGTAAATCTGTATATGCATTTCTTTATCAAATCCTCTTCTTCTCATATATGTGATATGATATATATTTTTCTATAAAAATATTTATTTCTCTTTTTATCGGACTTGTGCGGTTATAAATTATTGTATATAATGTCCATAAATGTCGAAGAATGTGTGTTTCTGAATTATTATTATTATATAATGTTCATAAATTTTGTTCATAAAGGAAAGCGACATGTATGCATATATGTATATTTGAAGATTCGCCAGTCTTGGGAATTTTAGCTTGAAAACTCGCAACGGTTCGTAATATCTCAGTTGTCGAGAGGTTGACGATTCGCGACAGACGCATGCTTGCATTATCCGCGATGATGCCGAGGCATGCCTATCTGGTTTATATACATATGCTTCACATACTGGATCAGATACTCTATATAGAGCCGAACCAAGAGCAAACCACGCTATTGTCCGTCTTTGCGTATCTAGCATCCAACGTCGCTGCCTACTATTGATCGTGATACCTGCATGCCGAAGGATTATGAACTGCATTGTCGCTTGCTATGCCGCGTCGCGCAGATATCGCTGATGCATCAAATTTACGGAAAGTTGTCAGAAATCTGATTTCTACCGTAGAGTTTTGATTGAGTTTGACATTGCAGTTACGATAATTTGACGGTTAAGAGATAGCTACACGATTCAATTAGCAGCATCCATTATGGATATAAAATTATAAGTTTTCACACAGAGAGAATTTATTCTTAAAATTGATATCTTAAAAATCGGGGAACAATATGATATTGGAAGAATTTTATAAAAATTTCTCTTAATATTTACCACAATAAAATATAAAATATGTTTGATTAATTTTTACATAATAAAATTTACTACGTACATATTTAATATTTTTTATTCTGGTAAATATTATAATTAGAAAAACTCTTATAAAATTCTTCCAATATTGTCCTATACGATTATCATGATTCTCAGGATAAATTCTAAGAGAAAATTCTCTCCGTCATTGGACAGTTATTTTTTTCTTCAATAAGATGAATCTCTCTTTTCGCAATTATGAGAAAACGTTCATACCTTGAAGATATTAACGCGTAGTTTAAAGGATTAATTTTCGATTGTCGAGATATAATAATTAAATATATTTTGTAGTGCCTTTCAATTTGAAGTGTCAAAGTTTCGTGTGATAGTAGCAGTCTTAAGAAAGAGGTATATAACTTTATCTCGGAATCATGCTGGTGCAAATCAGAGTCTGGCTCAGCTGTTGAGCCCACATTCAGGCGCGGTATTATTAATCCGAAACGTTTCGCGAGCGTTTGGAGACAAGAGCAGATGTAACTAGCGAGGATTTTCTCCTTTTCCTTCGGTTTTCTCTTTGTATTTGCCGACTAGGCGGAAACTGATATGAGACACGTCGACAGATTGCTTCAACTTGGGCGCTGATTAGTATGAGGAAAATTCGAGGAAGCGCGACAAAATGGAGAGATATAAAGCTCAGACGAGAGACTGAGAGATATTATATACGAAAGTAAACACGCAGACAAATTGCGCGCGCTTTATGACAATCGCTGATGTCGAGTTCGAGGGAAATTAGTTACCTCCGAATTGGACATCGAAAGAAAATTGCTCCGAAAAAAGGATCTTCCGCCTGGATTTTAAAATAAAATTAAGTGTTTCTATACGTCAAACATTTTTTTATGCCTGTCAGAGTATCGTGAATTTTTCCTCCGAATCATGTGTGGATTTTCGCGTTTATATATTCGCTTCCAGGATCTTATATCACCTTGGCAAAATATAAAATTCAGACAACGGCGTGAAAATAAATCTCGATTTCTCACGTATGCTTCTCGCATCAGACTTCGCGCGAATTCGCGAATCCTTTATACATATCGGCATAGATCCTTGAATACTTCGTGATCGAAGCTACTATTAATAGAAATGCGAATCACAAGATTGTATGGAACAAGGTTACTTAAGTGAGGGAGTAAAGTAAGAAGTGCCGCCGTCTCGGCTTCGCTGTGTCTCTATTAATGAACAAAATTAACTCGTATTTGCACAGTTGCTGCGCGCTGTCGAGCGTCTGTCATTTTCGCGCTCTACGCTCAATTGATTTAGTGGGACGCGACAATTTAATCAGAGTATTCAAAGTATCTAAGTTACGACTAAGGAACAATCTCGAGCCTAGTAATTCGCGATATTTACATGACGTCTTATATATATATAAAATAAAACATCAATCCATCTGTATTTCAATCTATCATCGATATACGAAAAGATATATCTTCAAAATTGTATTATCATTTATTATAAAATTATATAATTATATATTAATATCTATAATATATGTATATATTATATACGCAGAGAGAGTATTTGATCTTATAGAATTTATCCTGAAAATTATGATAATCGTGAGACAATATATGGTGTTGGAAGAATTTTATAAGACTTTCTCTGATTAATATTTACCACAATCAAAAATATTAATAATTTGCCACAAAAAGATATAAAATATGTTCGATTAATTTTACTATGTATACATATTAACATTTTTTACTGTGTGGTAAATATTAATCAGAGAAACTCTTACAAAGTTCTTCCAATACCATAATTGTCCCACAATTACTCCGATTTTCAAGATATAAATTCTAAGAGAAAATTCTCTCCGGTGTAAAATACAATATATATATAATTAAATAATTATATAATTGTTTACGCCGATTTTAATTTCCATTCGCACACAAAAAATATAAATTATAAATCATTCTCGAGAATAACTTTTTTCCAATTTTTATTCGCGTCGAGCAACTTTTTCATTCCGGCCTCCGAGCTGAGAAATCTCGACCGCAGAAGGGTCCAGCCGCCGAATTGCGGATTGGATGCTGGACATTATGCGGATTGCCACGGCCCATGCCGAGGTCGGCCGAATCGAGCCGAGCCAGGTCGAGCGGAGGCGCGCTAACGAGAGGACGCCGAGCGCGTTTGTCTCGGCGCGGCGCGGATAAAGCCGAGCTGAGCGGATGCGCCGCGCCGCTTTGTAGAGGCCGACTGCAGCCGCGCGCCATTGTCAGTAGCGGATCCGCCAAGGCGCGTTTCGGCATTTCGCCGAAATACGCATTGCTCGTTCGGCAATTTTTCCGGGAGATTAAAAAAAAAAAAAAAATTTTTTTGACCAAGCGGAATTTAAATATCCCCATGCAGATATCAACCAAACTGATGAAGGTCGAGAATATGTCCAGGAAGGAACATCTCCGATTGCATTACTTTGCCTAATTAATTAAAAATTTTTATAAACATGATAGTTGATCTTATAAAACTAATTACTTCAATCTCTAACAGCACAGACATCCCGAGGATGTTCGAATGTCCTCTGGATATCCTCAAAATGTCCTTCGCATATGGTGTGCTATTAAAGTGATTTCATCGTCACGAAGTGCATTCTCTCTCGGTGCGACAATCGCTTTCCACGAAGTCTCCGGAAGCTGGAGAAAGCAGTAAAATTTCGCTGCTGGGGACTGATTAAAATGCGCTAATTCGATGATGCTGAAGTCCGTCTGTCATCGTCCGCTCCGAAACATCTCGCACGGCCCTGCTCTCGCTCGCCGCTGGTAGAATTTACTCGCTCGGCGTGGTCGTCCCTCCTCTCGCACGCGTGCGATCCGCGCGGCGCGGCGCGGCTCCGCTCGGGCCGAGTCGAATCGAGCGGTGCCGAGCGGTGCCGAGCGCCGGGGTCGAGCGGAGCCGAAGGCCTCGCGGCTGGCCGCGCCGCGCGCGAGGAGCACTACATCGCCGGAGCGTGTGTGTGCGTGCGTGCGCTTCTACCCGCTCCGCGTTCTCGTCTTGGATCCTCTCGCCTCGAGGACGAGGACCCAGCATCGCTCTCATCCCCGTCTTCGAAAGTCGTCGCTTCACGCGCGGGATCATCAGGATCATCAAGGATCATCGTCTCGGCTCGTATCTGTGCGCCGCGTCCTTTCCGGCTGGCTCGCGCGCGTGCATGGACGACACGCGCGCACGAGCCGACGAGGATATAGCCCTGGATTCGTGCCGCTTACGCTCGTCCGCTCGGCTCGGCATCGCCGCGAGCACCGCAACCACCAGCAGCGTCGTCCCCGGGAACAGTTCCACGACCGCCTCTGCCACTACCTCGAGCGCCGTCGCCACCACCTGCCGCGTCGCCAGACGCAAGAGGAAGAAGAGAAGGCGTACGCGGCTTCCCGCGAGCAACGACGAAGCGACCGGCGTCGCGTCCTCCACCCGGAGCAGCGTCCTCGCCGGCGGGAACAGCAACAACGTAGCCGAGAGCAATCCGGCCGTCTGCGTCGACCTCGAGCCCGACGCTGACGACGTCGCCGAGGGCAACAACAACGCGGCGGGGCTGTCGGATAACTCGGTGGTGGCGCGGGTCGATAAACCGAGAAGCCGCCACCACCTCGCCGCCTCCTCCTCGGAGCAGCAGCAGCAGCAGCAGCACGCCTCGTCGGCGGCTGTCCTCAGCGGAGAAGTCGGTCAGCCGCGCGTCGGAGGAGGAAGCGGCACGCGCGCGGCGGCCGCCTCCTCCGTCGGCACCACCTCCAGCACCGTCACGCTTCTCAATCGACGCGCCGGCAAACGCGGCTCGCCGCGGCGATGCAACGCCGCCGGCGGACGTAGGAGCGCGATGACGATGGACCTCCAGCGGCTCATCAGCGAGGTGCACGCGAGACCCGCGATCTGGGACCAGAAGAATGTCAACTATCACAATCGCGATGTCATACTGAAGATGTGGCGGGAGATTGCGAGGGCCTGCGAGGTGTCGAGTGAGTAAGAGAGAGCCCCGTTCGATGAATGATGATGCGACTCTCTCTCTCTCTCTCTCTCTCTCTCTCTCTCTCTCTCTCTTTCCAACCGCATTCGTCCTTGTAAATACATTTGCATATGCGTGTTATGTGCGCACGTGTAGAGATGTTTGTTCGCGAGATTGGTCGATGGGTGGGATACGCCGAGTACGAGTCGATTGGTCGCCAAGTTCGTACATTGTACTCCCGAAGAAAGACTTTTGGAGGATATCCAGAGGATAGCCAGAGGACATTCGATCAGCCTCAGGTTGTACTCTGAACGTCTTTGGGATATGTGTGTTGTTAGAGTACGAGGAATCGAAGCTGTCCGAGAGGACCTGTTCGCCGGAAACAGGTCGATAGCTCCGACCGGAAAGAGAGGCAGACTGCTAGTTCGCGCGAATCACCGCCAGGTCGCACGCTGATGCCACTGTGTATGCGAGATTGGGTCGATGCACATTTTTTTTCCTTTTCGCAAGCGTGTCACCCACGTGCGCGCGGAATAAACATGTCGAAGAGATGGAAATTACAAGCCCAGTCTTTCATTCATCATCGATCATTCTCTCTGTTGACTCGCATAACACTAGGTTTCCAATTCTTCCGTGTATCTTCCAGCTTTCAAGTTTCAGATAACAGTTCAGAGTTCATCTTGTTTCCTTCCAATGAGGAGTATAGAAGATCAACTCTGAACAGACCTCTTGATCCATAAATTGCATTATAGAAACACGTGTTTCTCTTTGGTTCCAGTTGAGCCCAGTTTCATTCATCATCGATCATTCTCTCTGTTGACTCGCACAACACTAGGTTTCCAATTCTTCCGTGTATCTTCCAGCTTTCAAGTTTCAGATAACAGTTCAGAGTTCATCTTGTTTCCTTCCAATGAGGAGTATAGAAGCTCAACTCTGAACAGACCTCTTGATCCATAAATTGCATTATAGAAACACGTGTTTCTTTTTGGTTCCAGTTGAGCCCAGATTCATCATCGATCATTCTCTCTGTTGACTCAACACTAGGTTTCCAATTCTTTGTATCTTCCAGCTTTATCAGATAACACAGAGTTCATCTTGTTTCCTTCAATGAGGAGTACAGAAGATCAACTCTGAACAGACCTCTTGATCCACAAATTGCATTATAGAAACACGTGTTTCTTTTTGGTTCCAGCTGACGTGGCCAAGTCCAAATGGAAGCACCTGCGCGACAACTTCCGGAACGAGCTGAAGAAGACTTATCGGGGTAAGTGCGACGGTGTCGGCGGCACCGAGCACGACTCCAAGTGGGTCTGGTTCAAGAGCCTGTTCTTCCTGCGGGACCAAATGAACTCCAGAGTGATCGGCTGCGCCCTGTCGCAGAACTGCGTAGGCCAGATCGGTTTGCGCTCGTCGCCCGACGGCACCCAGATCGAGCCGCAAATCGACATCCTCGAGGGCCACGAGGAGACGCAGTTCGACGACCTGGACGGCGATTCCTGCCAGTCGTTGCTGTCCAACGACGACGGCCTGCACCAGGTGATGCCGCCGCCGAAGATGAGCAAGATCCTCGGCCGGAAGCGGACGCTCATGGACGCGATCGATAACGATTATGGAATAGAGGTGGACCGGAAGCGGTACGAGTCGCTGCAGAAGAGGCTGGCGATGGGCTCCGAGGACGAGGACGACACCTATCACTTCCTCATGAGCGTCCGGAATCCCCTGAGGAGTCTGCCTCTCGACAGGCAGATGTTCGTTCGGCTCAAGATCCAGGAGCTGGTCTACAACGAGATCAATTCGCAAAATCAGCAGCAACAACAACAGCAACAGACGGGGAGTCGCGGCGTCTACGACACGTCCGCGCAAGGCCAGGACGTGAAGCCCCCGAGAACCGGAAATGGCGGCAACGGCGTCGTCGGCGACGTCGTCAGCGAGATGTCGAACCCGACGTCGTTGCTACAGAATTGCACGCCCGAGGGATCCAGCGACGACGCCTTCTTCGGCTGACGAGAACCCATTGCGATTTGATTCGCTTATAGAGAGACGTAAGGATTATAATTTTATTAAAAATAGAGAATAAAAGCGACGGTATTTTTCAGTAACCCGGCGCGGTTTCGCGCATTTTTTTGTCTCCCACCGTAAAAAAAAAAAAAAAACCGACAATGTCCTTCTCCGGCATCCCCAGATTCCATTTTAATCATTAATACGGAATGAAATCATTTAACATTTATATATTTTTTTGAGTTTAGAGAATTCATTAAAAATTAAATTAATTTTTAAAATAAAATAATCACCAGTATTTAACGCGATAAGATCGACACGACGATTTTATAATTCGTTATCATTTCGCGAAGTGAAAAATTCATGAAAATTAACCGCGGCAAATAATCTATCTCTCGACATATATTTTTTTAGCTTTGAAGATATCTCCATTTTTATCGCAAACCAAGGCAAGCTCTTTAATTAACGAAGCCATACATCGGTATACAATTAGTGTTATTAGCGCGTGCGCGCCTCACCTATATCTACGTCACGACGGAAACGCGATTATATTCTGCCGCGACAGCTGATCTCTCTAGACTCTCGCCGTGTGTTTTCCTCTCTTCGTGATTAAAAAGCATGAACAATCACACACACACAGGGAAGAAGGATCACAGATGCGCGCGTCACGTCGAAGCTTGACGCAATATGGGAGGGTGCGTTGTCCTGGTCGCTGGACGCACCCTTCATGAAAGGGTGCGGAGTTGACCAAATTTACCAACGTCCACCGTATTACGTATTACGTTCATTAACCCTTCGTTGCGAAAACACGCGAGTGATCGCGACCGGCTGATCCGTCGAGATGACGTATTTCAAAGTTTTTCGAGGCCCTATAAACTCCAACATCTCTTTCCCGCTGAGGAATAATAATAGTAAATTATTGAGAAATATGTTTCTGATCGTGAGAAAAAATATGTACAAGTGATACATTTTCTAATGTCTTTTCCTCACTAATTATAATAAATCCGGAATATTATATAATTGCGAGTAAATAACTTATAAATATTTTCTTTACTTGCGAGAAAAAACATGCATTTATACATGTGATCGAAATTAATGTCTGTATATAAAAGATGAGTTTTCTCAAGTAAATGTCAAGTGAATATCCCGGGGACACGTTAATCTATTTACGGTATTGGCGATCAGTTGTGCGCATCAGTCGTGCGAAATCCTCCCTCTTTTCACGACGAATCCTACCCATTCCGACTAGTCTTCTGAAAGGGACTAATGAGGTACGCAACGTCAATAGGAGTCTCACACCTGCATTATAATGTGGTATTTTTCTCGAGAGACCGTGAAACCGCGCATAATTTTGAAAAGACCGTGTTTCGTGCATAAATCTAAATAATGAACATCGAAAGTAACATCTTTTACGTAATTACGAGGTATGCGAGCTAAATTTTATGAATATCATAAAGTTTTTAATTATGATAATGAAATATGAGTATACTTTTAGCAAAACTGTCCGTTTAAAATTATTAAAACGATATTATCTCGATTTAATTATCAAATTAATTCTTTTTAATTATAATAATTTCAAACGATTGATAAGAGCAGCATTGTCTGTTAAAGATTAAACTACTCGTAGCAATGCATGTTTTCCAACAGACTCATATGTTACATTGATTAAAATATCTATGTAACGTGTAGTTACGTACGAGATGCTATCTCACCCTACACATATTAAAAGTGAAATAGAAAAACAGAATCATTGTTTCCTGCCCGTGATGGATGGATTGACATCGATCATTTAATAATCACATATGCTTGACAGTGTATGTATATCGATCATATCTCTAGAAAAGATATCTCTGCTTGTCGCACGATGATTAAATATCGATATAATATTTTGCATATATGTCAATCATATATTTAACTTAATTAAAAAAAGATTTTACTTCAAATTTATTAAAGTGGAAAACAATTAGTAAAAAATAACAATGTTTAATAATTATTTAAATTTCCAAAGAGAAGAATTTATTTTTATAGACGTTAACACATTATCTCGCTTTGCTTTAGAAAATCAAGAATTTTCTAAATTTGTATATGTTTCATAAATTTTTGTATATTAAAAATTTGCAAATTTACACTATATACACACACACACAATTTAACAAATATGGAAGTTGTGTAAAAAGTTTTTAAATGTAGGTACAATTTAAAATACGTATATATTTAATTGTCGCGATTTATCGGGAGATTTTATAACAAGCCGATACTTGATCGATCTAATTTACGCAAATTTCACAATTCGATTAACGACGCGATACTTCATCCAATTGCGTTATGCACTGACGTTGCCGGGCTAATGGACAGTTATTATCGTCCGACCGACAGATAATGGGCAGTGGACATTGCGGCGGATGGGCGAGATGGAAGCGCTAATTTTGTTGTCGCACCCGGTACACGTTAAATTGTAACCCGCAAGAGAGAAAGAGAGAAAGGGGTCTATATGCGCGTCTCTACGCACACACGTATCGCGGCATTTGCGTTGGTAAAAGCCTTTTACATAGCTTTCGAGAGTGCGCGTTCCAACCCGGCTACTCTCTCGGCTATTACTTCAAACATACCGAGTGGTCAAATTAATTGCTGATTCGTGAAAATGTTTTGCATCGCATTGTTATTTGGAATTTTGCAAGTTCTTTTTGTTTTGCAAAACACGTGGCTGATAAACAACGTTCTCGAATGACGTTTTTGTTTTGCCGGAGCTCTCGAATTAGAGCAGCAATCTGAACAATGATGACAATTTGTTGGAACCATTTAAAGTTGACGCTACAATTTTCGCTCGAAATTAGAAGTACGTTTCTAGAATACAAAGCATGATCGCAATTACTTTTTACAAACTAAGATTTTAAGTTTTCAATATAAAAAACATTTATGTCAATTTTTTTCTTTGGTATATCAAGAAATTAAATAACTCTCAGAGTTTGAGATTTTATTTTTACTAAATCTATCTGTCTCTCCTAAATTTTTCTCGCTTACGCTTCTTTAAAGAGGCAGAAGTATTTAATAAAAATATTTCGAACGAAGATTATTTAATTTCTTGATATCATATCATATATGATTGCAATTATATACTTTTTGCAAACTAAGATTTCAAGATCTCAATATGAAAAACATTTATTTCAAATTTTATTTTTACTAAACCTGTTTGTCTCTTCTAAATGTTTCTCGCCTACGCTTTTTTAGGGAGGACAATAGTAACATTTCGAACAAAGATTTATTTAATTTCTTGATGTCGTATCAAGAAAAATTAGCCCTTAGCTCTTGCTTGCTGTTTATAAGTACACCTTGTATTTTATATATTTACGCGAAAGATAAGAAAAGATACGAATGCCATTCTAAAGTTTTCGAATCTTCGGATATCTCCGGAGAGAAAAACTCGAGAGCGAAAAGTTAATTTTTCCCAACTTGAAAAGTAAATTCTCTCCCGCGGAAAGTGGGTTGGACCATCGTCGCGGGGCTCGTAACAAGCCACGGCAGTCTTCTTAACGTATGTTACATATATATTTCTGATGCGAACTTTGCAACTTATTGTTGAAGAACGGGAAGACGCATTATACAATATATTTCAACATATAAGGCGTCTCATCACGGAATTCTCCGTCTCCATTATACGGCTCCTGTATAGACTAGAATCGCGCGATGTACTTCGATGCACCGTGACTGTTACACATTATATCGACGTGGATGCCACTGACACCGCTGAATGCGACGTATTGTGCGACGTCCTCGTCTCGCTCTCGCCGTCCCGATAACGTCGTCCGTGGCTCCCGAGTGAGTTTGCGCCAGTTTCCGAGGTGGTTGCATCCTCGATTATTGGACGTCGAAGTGACGACGCGACGTATACGCTTTGAATTTAATTAAACCAGGTTATTAAGGAACGAAGGCGAACGCGCGAATCTCGCGTTTGTACAACTGCCTCTTGCTTCTTCTCGAAGAACATCGGCAAAGGTACACTGAACAAAAATTGGTCAACTATTTTGTTAATTGAACATATATTAGTATATCTTTCAATCAAATATACGTTTTGTTAGATTTAATAGGTGATATTTAATTTAAATATTTTTATATGTTCAGTTGTCAAAATAATATTTAGTCAAGTTAAATTTTTTTCCAATAATCTTTCAAATAATAAAAAAGTTTTGATATGTAAATACAAATTCAGTGTAAAAAGAGGAGAAGGCTAGTAAGAAAATAAAAAAAAAACTCAATTAGTAAAAAACATTTTTATTAATTTGAAATGCTGGTTCAAAAAGGAAGAACCAAAACGTTCGAAATAAATATAGAGAAGAATAATTTTGTTGCTTAATGCCTGTCTGATAGTAGCCTTTTTATACCTAAAAGTATCTTTAATTGTTCTCATTAATTGATTTTATATAGATTTATTCATTAATTTGCTCTTTGTTGCGATAATCGATTATTTTCTTTTTTTTTGTTTGGATAAGATTTTTATTCTCCTTTTCTATCTTGCAATTTCCAGGTAAAACCACCTTGAGCGAGGCGTGGATTGCATACCTTCGAAATTTATTTGTCCCAGTTCCTTTCCCGGACCTTTTCGCAGAAATTCGCCACGTAACAAGGTAACTTTTCGCCTGACTAGAAACGGTCGTTGCCGTCTAGACGGGATGCACTATATTAACACGGTATATTGCACCGAATGAATGGCTTATTCGAAAACCTCGGTCTGAGCGAGTAAGTCTGCAATAGTCGTCGCTCTCTTGATTTTTCCATACAAGAGGAGATTAGCATCCTTTCTTCTTTGTTTGCACCGTTCTCCCGCTTTATCTCTTCCCGCAATCTCTACAAGTGGTTCGACATGAATCTTGTATTGTTACTTTCTCGTCAGTCGAGTCTATAATGTCGACGGCACAACTGGAAATAGAAAAAGGGAATGCAATTAGTAGATCTGTCCATAATCTCGAATAATTAATATTATGATATTGTACACCTCAAAAATATAAAATCTCAAATAATTTATATTATATATGTATATACATATTATAATATAAATTAAAATTTGAGATATATAATATTAATTATTTGAGATTTTTACTATAAT